TCCTCCTCCTCCTCCTCCTCCTCCTCCTCTCCCTCCGCAGGCCCCCCCTCCCCGAGTGGTCCAGGGCCGTTGCAGCACCCTCCAGCGAGCGCAGCCTCCTGCGGCGCCCCCGGGTGCTCGGGGTGCTGAGCCCCGCTCTGGGGCTTCGCTGGGGACCTGCTGAGGCCAACCTTAGGTCGGGCCTGTCCCCCTCCTCCTCCTCCTCCTCCTCCTCCTCATCATCCTCCTCCTCATCATCCTCCTCCTCCTCCTCCTCCTCCTTCTCCTCCACTTTCTCTTCCTTTCTCCTCGTCCTCCTTCTCCAAAAAGGTGAGGAACCGCTCTAAACATAGTCCCCTGACGATTTTTGGACTACCGTTTTAATATGTTTGGGGCATCTTGTAGCTTTCGTCGAAAATCCCCCTGTAGGGGGACAGGCCCGACTTAAGGCCAACCAGGACTCCGTACCTGGGGGGGACCGTCTGTGCGCAATCCGAAGCTTTCTCTCGCCGAGCGCGTCCCCACTACTCGCGAAGTGCCTACTCACAAACGCTAGACAGAACAAGTCCTGCTCTTCGTAATATATAGTAGATCCCCCGCGGCGGATCCAGGTCATTTGCGAGTAGTTGATCTGCGAGTAGTGAACGCGCTTGTCCATTATTACCAGTTCGGTGGGATGGGAAGGGCGAGACGACCGACCGTTCTTCCTGCTCATTCTGAGCAGGACCCGCTTTCCGGAGCCGCCGCGGCGCCGTACACTCGAGTCGAAACGTCGCCTGCCCCACAGCGGCCGCTGCCTGTGCAGGAAACCAGTTGCTGTTGGGCATCGTGCCCATGCTTTCAGCAGCCGTTCGGGGCACGCAAAGCAATCGTCGCCATGAAGCAAACGGGTCCTCAGGGCGACGGTCCTAAGTTTTTCACGGTCTTCGGCCTTTTGGGCCATCGGGCCACAAAAGGCAGAGGGTTGGGCAGAGGGTCTGCGGTGGTACATTGCAGGACTTGATGCGGGTTTGCTGGGCAAGGTGCCAGGCATACTGGACGAACTGGCGCCAGGCAAGGTGCGTTCTCCCTCGACGATCTCCTGGATTTTGTCCCCTTCTCCTCCTTCATGGCGGCAGGCAGACTTCGAGCGGAGCTCGCAGCGTCGCGCAGCATGACACGCCATGGTCGGCGCAGCGATGCCGCCGCAGGTCACGGGCACGGCTTGGGGTTACGCGGCAGCGTGGCAGGCCATGGCCGCGGCCCGCGAGCTGCATCCGACGCGCCCACAACGCTGTACCATAATTATTGCTCCGCAAACATTGCGCAGCATAGGTTGCACCATCGTGGTTGCACCACGCAGGTCGCTCCACCGAGACTCCACCTAGATTGCTGGAAATACACCGCTTGAGGACTGTGCTGGCTGACGTGTCTACAAGTCCCACCCGTCCTTGACGGCGCGAGCGGCTTAGATCAAGGGCAGAAAAACGCCCCTACCCTGGTTTACGAGGCGCTGTGCGCTGAATCTCCTGTGGGCTGACAGGGTAAACCCTGCGGGATGTGCCGCGCCCTGGCGGCTCTAGGCTTTGGAGGTTCCCAGGAGGTCTACAGACCACGCACTTGTAACCCAGGATAGGGCCGTTTTTTTCATCCCTCACTATTAGAGCATCTCCTCTTCCCACAACTCGGGCTGGGATGGCGGACAAAATGGCACGCAAGCACACCGCCTTTCGCCTCGGGAGTCCGCGGTGGGTGGCCCCGCCGGCACCGGACCCCTGCCGCACCCGTCCTCGGCGCGCGCAGCGAGCTATGGGGCGGCGCCCGAGGCGTCGCCAGAGGTCCCCTGCCGCTACCCTTTCGCCGCTACCCTGCCGCTGGGGTCCCCCCGCGGCGCCTCCGGTGCCGCCCCTAGCGCGTTCCGCGCGCAGGGGGGTCCAGCGCCGATCCGAGAAATCCGCGCGGACCTCCGAGTTTTTATGTTTATGTCATTTTTTGTTCCCCTAGAAATCCCGGTCAGAGCGCGCCCTGGGAGTGGTCCAGGGAGTATCGGGGGCGGCAATGAGGGGGGTGTTGACTAGGGAGGGGGGATATCATGGCGTGGGCCATGATATCTCCCCAGATCTCATGGCGCCTCTTCTTGTCTCATTACGTCCCTGGCCCCCCCGCTGGGCCGCGCACATGCGGCTGGTCATGATTTGCACCCCCCCTCTTGGACACCCCCCTCTTGGCCGCTCCCGATGTATGGTTTCAACAGTTCTACGAACATTGTTCTTGTTATTCGAACATTGCTGGGTTTTGAGAACATGTCGCGGTAGGCCTATAGGAGTGCTGGGACGGTCGGTCCTGTCCTGCTCAAGTGGTGAGGTTTTGGGCTGCGGAGACAGTCCCCCCCCAGGAAGTCCCAGCTGGCCTCAACAGTCAGCATCGTCTGACCGATGGATTGGTCAATCGATCAGGCGCTCCTATTGTCTGGGGCGCTCCGATCCCCATCTCCATCCCGATCCCCACCATCCCACCACCTCCGAGTTGGGGAAGCGCCCCTCGAGACCCGAAGGGGACAGCCTACATCCCCGTTCCCGGGGGGGGATAAAATCGGCCAGCGGGGCCCAGGCCACACCAGTGGGGATAGGGATCGGTTAAACGATGCTCAGGGAGGCTTCCCCAGCAGCCTCCTCCTCGTCCTCCTCTTCCTCCTCCTCCTCATCCTCCTATCCTCCTCCTCCTCCTCCTCCTCCTCCTCCTCCTCCTCCTCCTCCTCCTCCTCCTCCTCCTCCTCCTCCTCGTTTGACCGTTTGGCCGCATCGTTTGACCGTTTGGCCGCTCCCGGGAGTAGCGGTATTGGCTCCTGCTGGTTCCCCCAGGTTCGGAAGGGTGGCCAGGCACCAGCGGGGAGGCTTCGCGCGGGCGCGCGAGGCGTTTCTGTTGCTGCGTCGTCCGAGGTGTTCTTGTCGGGTGTCCGCGCGGATTTCTCGGACTGGAGTTATAAGTCGGGCCTGTCCCCCTACAGGGGGATTGTCCACGAAAAATACAACATACTCAACAATAATCCAAAAATAATGCAAGCATAGCCGGGGGATTATTCTTTGAGTATTTGTTGTCCTTTTTGATGCATTTAGGTGAATTTTCATTATTCGTCGAAAATCCCCTTGTAGGGGGACAGGCCCGACCTAAGACTGGAACTGGGTCCCCCTGTCGGCGCTTCTGGCGTCGCCCCTGGCGCGCTCCGCTCGCCAGGAAGCGGGGGTCAGCGCCGATCCAAGATGTCCGCGCGGACCCCCGACAGTTCCTCTGTATGTGATGTTGGTAGTCTTCTGCGATTGTCCCCTGCATTCCCCTTCTCCTGCTTCTCGTCCCTCTCCACTCTGCACGGTGCGGCAGGACCTGGCGCGATGATCTTCCCAGACATGGAGGGGGCGTCACTGGACCAGTTGGGCTTCATGACCGTCGTCTACGGCTACATCTTGATGCAGGAAGACGAGGAGGATGAGGAATGAGGAGGAGGATGAGGAGGAGGAGGAACAGCACAAGTGTATCTTCGTTTTTTGCGTCTGCGCGTAGTGCCACACATCCGATACGCAGTGGATATGTATACAAGTCAGGCCTCGCTAGAGGCCGAAGTGCAAATCCAGTGCGTTTCGGTTTCCTACGGAAGGGACTCTCCAAGTCCGATCTCGCCTCAAGAAAAGTCCGGTCTCGCCTCGCTAGTTGCCAAAGTGTGTTACATATCCAGCGCGTCTCGGGTTCCAAAGGAAGTGGATATGAATACAGATCCGATTCCATCCTCCTGCTTCGCCCCCCACCCCCGCGGCCGACGCTGGCGCGGCGGCGGCGACGACGTCGACGACCCTTTCGTGCGCCATCCGCTCCCCGCACGTCGCCGGAGGCCTCCGCGGGCCTCCAGAGGCTGCTGCAGAGGCCCGCCGATGCCTCGTCTTGCTCAGGACGAGGCCTGCCTTTGGCTCCGTCTTCGGCAGTTGTCCTACATTCGGCTTCGCTTTCGCTCGCCGGGAGCTGCTTCTGTCGTCGAGTTGTGTGTGTGTGTGTGTGTGTGTTTTATAGCGTCCGCTCGCACTTGCCCTTCCTCGCTCCTGCTTTGGCGCGCTCGGACTTGGAAGTGTGGCCCACTCCCCCCTCTGGGGCAGCGATCAAGTGGAATTGTCTCAGGGGGAAACACATCGTCTCCCCATTGCCCACTCGTCATTGAAAGATGCTTTGTAATCCACCCCGCCCAGGTCAGATCAGCTTCACAATCGGCGGTATTGTTTATACTTGCTTTGTTGATCATTGATTACTGAGAATGTTTTGTGCCGGGAGGGTGTGCACATACTTCTGAGTATATTCTGCTTAAACATCAACATCGTGTCGCGTGGGAATCGTGCGGGGCGTGCAAGCACTTGGGCGTTTCCTTCATCTCGTACCTGGCCGTGCAGATGTGGGCCCCGCTTTGAGGCCGCCGCTGGGGTTATCTTCGGGTAGGCTGGTTGGGAATCCTTCCGCTTTCTGTGCGGTGGCAGGTCTCGCGGAGAGTTCGTTGGGTTCCGGCTGGCCTCCTCCTCCTTGTCCTCCTCCTCCTCCTCCTCCCCCTCCTCCTCCAGCTGGAGCACCGTGGCCCCGCTGGGGAACCTGCCTCGCGGGGTCGCTTCGGGCACCGCGCGGGCCCTCGCGACCCTCGCGGCGGTCGGCGTGGATTTCGTCCGCCGGAGGGCGGTGAAGTTCGAGGGCCGCGATCCTGCGGCAATCGGTACGAACGAAATGGGTATGGAAAGAATGGGTCCAATGCCCAACAGCAGTTCCTGTTCATTTGAAGAGGACTCGCTGTCCGCGCAACCGCGGCCTGTGTTCATTCGAGACAGAAGGCCGCCTGCCCAACAGCGGCCGCTGTTGGTTTGGTCAACATTTGATGTTGGGCACAATACCAATTCTTTCCGTACCCATTTCGGGCGTCCAAAGCTATGTGCCGCGAGCAACATCAGGACGTGCAGAAGCAGGACGCCCTCCATCACGGCAGGGGCATCGTCGAACTTTTCGAGCCAGAGTGCGGCGAAGAAGGTCGGGAAGGATGCCGTCGCCGATCCCGGCGATTACTTCTCGAAGAAACACCTGTTGGGGCGGCCGTGCTCGAGCGCGGCGGTGCGGCCCGGGTCCATTACGGCGCTGGTGAGCACCACGGTCGATTCACTCATCGGAGGCCGCGTTCAGAAAACCGAGCATGCGGTTGTCTTGCCTGATTTTGTCATCTTCGTGGAGCAGTTCAGCCTGAACAGTGCCGACATTGCGGGGGATGCGCTTCTCGCCGACGATCCACGCTCGGCCGCGTGGGATGGCCTCGCAAGGAAGCGCGCTGTACACCTTCGCGCCGGTGATGCCATCGGAGGGGGGCGACCAGCTCGCTGAGGCCGACCGGGTCTGCAACCTGGAGCGGGCACGCGGCGATTCGCCACGCCTAGGCGACGTGGCTCGCTCGCCGGGCGGTGCGGTAGCGATGGCGACGTGCGCGCCCGCGCCCCCCCCCCCCCCCCGCGTGGGGTCGCGCGGCGGGCGTCCGCTGGCGGCGCGCGGGTCCTCTCGGAACCCGCGGTGGGCCACGACGTCGGGGCGGAGTCTGTCTTGCCCGCTGGCGCGGTGGTGGTGCTGGGGGCCTGCGCCGTGGCGGGGATCGACGGCGCGGCCGCGAGCCTCGAGCAGCCTGCCGAGGGCGCGGACAGCGCCCGCCGGGCGCTGGAGCGAACCCCTTCCCCGCGCGGGGGCCCGCGCATCCTCGCGCGCACGCCCGCGGCGCGGTCCTTGGTGGAGGCCGTGGGGCTGATGGCGGAAGGTCCTCGGCAGGCAGATGTGCCCCCCTGTCGGAGGTGATGGTTCAAGTATGAATGATGCATTCTTGGCCAGAATCGCGAAATGCTGTTCGACGTGCGTGCGCGAACGCAGACCGCGACGTGATTGATGTGTTTTCCTCCTTTTTGGCTTGTCTGACCTGAGTATTGCAATGCGCTGGCGTCCGCTGGCGAGATCCGCGCACGGTCAGCAATCTCTGAGCAGGGATCCGAATTCGCGGTGAAACGTGACATTTGGATTTGCGCCCAGATCCTGTCCGGAACTTCGCTCTGGCATGGAATGCGCCAGGTCCCCTGTCGCAGCGGCGCCCCGTTCCCGTCGTGACGGCACCGCGGGGCCCGTGCCACATTCAAGGGACATCGCATTCACGCGCGCACATCCCAAATCCACAAGGCGGGCGGGTCCTGCATTGTGTCATGACTGGCCAAGGTCCAGAATCCGCAAATCCCAAACACAGCTCCCGAACGGGCCGCAGAGTCAGTGTGCAGCGCAGCCTGGCGCGCTGTCCTGAGCATGCCCGTGCTGCGTCAGATTCCCAGGGTTGCTGAGAAGATTGCACGACATAGCTTTCTTTTACTGGTGTCTTTCCTTGACCGTGCTGCTCGACTCGTGCCTTCATGCGGGCGCCCTAGAATTCGTAGCTCTCTCAGCAGTCCACGAGAAAACATTATGCCCTATTAAACCTCGACATCTACTTGATCACATTTAGCCCACATGCAGGACACATTGCCCCCGCGTCTTGAAATCATGTCTCGGCGGCGCCTCAGTGGAAGTGGGAACCATTCTGTCCCAAGATATGCTGCGGTCGTGGCCCCGCGCGCGTTGGTGAGATCCGCATTCGGGACGTGAGTTCGAATGCTTGCTTCGGAAGGCCCCACCTGCCACGTGAATGACAGTCTAAGAACATGTTGGCTGCATGGTTGCCTATTATTTTGAAGTGGCTGTCGTCCGCGTCGGACGCAATGCTGAGCGGGCGCGGGCAATGAATGACTTCGCGAACGCAGCTGATGCACAACAGTCTCAACGTGGCGCAGACATCGTCAACATACTGGCATGGCGCGGCCACTCTTTCACCGGGTGCATCGTTGGTGGGCGCCAGCGTCGCCCACGTTGGTTGCAGACCTGTGCCCCGCAAGTGCCAATGTACTTTCAAGTCGCGTTGGCGACCGCGGTCCACCAATGGCCGCGCCTCTCAGCTGCGCGATCAACGGGGACCCGCGCTCTTAGATCCGCAAATCGAATAGCTTGAAGCGTCGAGAGACAGTTGTCCAGTGCGTCATTTCGGTGAATGTCTTTATCATCGGCGCGTGGGCCAACGACGGTCGCCGCCCTTTTGTTTGGGCGCCCCCGCCCCGCGGCCCCGCGGCTGGGGCCGGGGCGAAGGCGGCTGGGGGGCAAGGGCCAGCTTCCGACCAGAAAGCGAAACGTCGCAGCGCAAATGACCCACAGCAACAGGCCCACACGCGCCAACGAGAACAACGCTAAGACTCGCCAGACATCCGTCGCCCCAGGCAAAAGAAGCGCTTGGCTAGTCCAAAAGGAGAGAGCCCAGGGAGTCCAATGCATAACCAAGTGCAACAAGAGCGATATTGGGGAGCCGAGGCGGCGGAGCGAGGGGCGGCGATATGAGCGTTTGCTCCTGTCCGAGCGGGCCCCGGCGCGCTCTGGCGGCGGGGCGGGGCCTCTAGTGGGTTGTCCATTCTCCGACGCGGGCCCTTGGGGCTTCGCCGCGGGCGGCGGCGCCCCGGCGGAGCGCGCCCAGCGGGCGCGATCTGGGCGCGCGGCCCGCTGTGCTCCGCGCGGCCCGGAAGGGTTCGCGACTTCCCTCGGCCCCGGCCGGCTCTGAACGGCCGTTCCGTCGCTCGAATGCCTCTTCCCATGGGGGTGGAGTCCGGCGTCGGCGCCTTCCTGATCCTCGCCGTAGAGCGGAGCGCCGTCGACCTCGGCGGTAGGGGTCATCTCGGGCCCCGTTCGCCCCAGGGAACTGCTTCGCGCGAGGGTGGGCGACCTGACCAGCCCCGGTTCGCCGCAGAACTCGGCGCCGACTCTCCGATCGTTGATCGCGGCGCCAGAGGGGGGGCCCCCGCCGTCCAGGGCCCAGACCTTTGGCGACGCCGCGGCAGTCGACCTCCCCGCGCGACAGGGCGAGGCGCTGGGGGCTTGGGCGGCCAATGCCGTGGGCGAGCGCCTCTCTCCCTGCTGGAGTCGACGCTGTTCGCCCGCCTTTTCATGGCGGCGGGGGGGGGGGGGGCTTGGGCTTGAGACGTCACTCTGCCAGCTGCTGCGGCGCCGTCGCCGTCGCACTCTGAGCGGAGTTCAGTGTCGCGCCAGGGCGAAGCGGTTGGACGCATTTCGTCGCTATGCTAAGCCCGGGGCAACACAGCGAGTCCTCAATCGCTTGACTCGTGCGAGGCGCCAGTGGGCTCGCGGGCGCTTGGTCTGCTCCTCGGCGTTGCGCAGCCGCTGCGGCTCTTGCGCTCGCGCCCTGCCTGTTTCTCCGTTGCTGTGCACCCGCGCCCGCGCCACCGTTTCAGGCCATCCCCGCCGCGGGCCTGTGTCTCGGAGCGTGCCGTCTCGGTTCGAGCCGCGTGGCTGGAAGGCGCGAGGTCAGCGCCTGCGGCAAGCGCGCGTGTCGAACTGTCGACGCAAACTTACCTTCCCGATGCCTGTTCTGCGCTTTTCTTCGGTGCCTGGATATCTTCCACCACGTCTGGGACCGATCCGTGGTGGTCCTCGCGTAGTTGAATCGGCATGCAGGCTGCGCCGTATAATAAGCCGGCTCTCCTGTCGCAGCGTCGTTCGGGGGCATTGTTGCGTGCGTGATCTGACGAATGCCGCCCAGCGGATGCTTGAACCAAGCATGGCTGCGATGTGGCACGTGGAAAAATGCTACCTCGACAAGTTTTTTCAATCCCGCACCATTTCCCATGGGAACTGTGTGGGGCGTACAAGTTGTTGATTTGTTATTCGGCAATTTACCGCCGCCCTTGTAGCATGGACGAAACCAATTCGTTTAATGTAAAGAGTATTCGCGGGCTTCTCTTCGCCCTCAAAGCAAGAAAGTGTGTGTGTGTTCACCCTTGTGGTTGGGAGTCTGTAGGTCCGTACTGCGGCGAGCACGTGAATCGAATCGTCTGTACGCAGTTCGTTTTGACTGATTTGCTGCTAGCGAAGCTCGGTGCCAAACTCAAAAATCAGGTTGTTTCTGACGCAGCCGCGGAACGCCCCACTCGAGGAATCATATTCCAGGTCGACGTGTCCCTCCTGAGCCAGTTCCCCCCCCCTCGCTCCACCTCAGCTCCATCTGTTGATCCACGGCCCTCGACTGTGGCTCTTTTCTAAACCTCGGCACAGACGTACCTTTTTTGTCGGACTTCTGCGCAGATCCCTTGGGTCGGCGTTGGAGCTTGGTCCCCACGCCCATCCCCCCCTGCCCTGCGAGCTCGCCAGGGGCGGCCGCCCGGGGGGGCAGGAGGGGGGTCCCGACGGGCGCCTGTCAGTTGGGGGGATGCTGAAAGAGCGGCGGGGACCAAAGGCTGCAGGAAGTGAACCCTAAAATCAAGCAGTGGCGTCCTGGCTCGCCTATAGCCCTACCAAACACTGTTCTAAGAACCGTTGGTGGTTTCAACGAAATGTTCTTACAACATTTCTGGCGGAGTTTGTCTTGTTTTAACTCATCGGGTTTATGTTCTGAGGACATTGATTTTGATATTAGGTTTTTTGGGTTCTAGGAAGATTTCGTGGTAGGACTATAGGAATGCTGGGACGGTTGGTCCCTGCTCAATAAAAGGCCCCCCGCGGGGCTCCGGAGCTGCAGCGGCGCTTCGCCTTTTTTTTTCTCCCGCTTATTGGCTCCAGTAGACGTCGCCCTATCCATTGCCGGCCCAAGAGATTCCCGCGCGCCCCCGAACATGTTGAGTGGCGTTCGTGATTCTATGTCGCGATGTCTTTTCCTACGATCCTGTCATCGGTCGGTCGTCGCCGAGTTGTCCCCCGAGGCTTCCACGAGGCGTATAGAGCATTAGCCCGTGCTTAAAGCAGGCCCCAGAAAGCTGAAAAGCCTCGACCCTTCATTGCCGATTATTTTTGATCCTGCCTGGTCCTCATCCTTTAACCCTCCGCGTCCATTATCGATCCTGCTCGGCCTTCGACTTGCGCCCTCGAGCTTTCTGGACCTTGCTTTATATTCGATCCTCGATCCTCCTTTGTTCCCCTCCTTCCTCCTCGGGCCCCGATTCTCATCGATCCGCCTTGATCCTCCTCGGTCCTCGGTCCACAATCCTCATCGATCGGCCGTCGCCGAAGCCGCCAGGGCGCCAGCCTCATCGGAAGTGGCAGCGAGCTGCTGCTGCTGGTCCCACGGCTTGCCCCCCTGGTCGGCAGCGTGGTGCTGCCAGTCCTCGGGGCCGTGCCGGACGGCATGATGGTGCCTCTGGGCATCGTCGTCCCCATGTCAGGAGCCAGTTCTTGGTCCTCTCGCGATAACGGCCGTCACCAGGGGGGGGGTGGCAGTAACGTCACGATTCACGCCAGGCCTGTCTGGGGATTAGCTATCCTCAGCAACTCCAGCCTGGTGGCGGGCGTTATCGCGAATCGTTCAACAAGGCGTCCACGAGCAATGCCAGGGTGGGAAAGGCTCAGGGGGAAACGCATCGACACCCAACCGCCCATGCATTGCCGACATGGGCCTGATAGCCCACCTCGCACAGGAATGGCGGGTGGTTTCGCGATCGGAAGCCTATCGTCGATTTATCGGCGATGTATCACCGATTCCAGGCTGATGTTTCCCCCCTTGAGCCGCACCCCCTGAGCTGTCGTTGCCCTTCACTCTGGCGGATAGATCTGATCAGCGTCAGTCCTGCCCGTTCTCCTGGATTTTGGCCTCCATGACCGTGGCGGTCTCTGGGACGATCATACATCGGTCCAGGACTCAGAGCTGGCCTCGGGGTAGAGCGCGAGACCTTCGGGACTCTTTGCGGTCTTTCCAAACGGCATGTTGGCGCCCCGTTTTCTGCCATCGCCCATCGAGGTCCGAGGATCCAGGGTGCGCAACTTTTTGGGCGCTCTTGAATTTAGCTTCTTGGGTCTGAATGGGGCCACCCTCGTGGCCACGGCTGGATCCGCCCCGACATTCTGGCCAGAACGCACCCCGGAAAGAGCCAATCAGCCGTTGTCGTCCAGCGGGTCGTCTTCGTCGTCGTCGTTCACTGTGAGGGTCGAGGGGGGCTCGTGTTTGTCCTTTTCGGGCTCTTCGAGGTCATCCGTTTCGTCTCCTGTCTGCTTCCCGCTCCTGCCTGCTCTCTCCGCTTGCCTTCTTCGCTGATGCAATCCTTCGAGGAAGCCTCTGTTGCACACTAATTGGTTCAGCATTTTCTATGTGTTTTGGCGATTTCGTGGGCCGTTTTCGTTTCGACTTCGTCCTGCGCCAGAGGTGGAATGGAGGCAAACCCAGGGAAGACGACAGCAAAACGAGAACGAAACAGACCGTTGAGGCTCAGCCCCGTTCTCCAGCACACGCACAGACGCGCCGACGTATCGGGGGTGGACAGACCTCCTTCCCTGACACGTCGATTAAGGAATTGGCCGTTTTCGGTGCGCGAGGGGGCGTCGCGGCCGTCATTTCAGCGGGTACAGGTCCGTCGGTTTCGGTCCCAGGCCGTTTTCACTAAGGGGGAGGCTTACGAAAGGGAGGTTTGTCCACCGCCGAACGTCGAAGTCGGCGTCAAGGAGGTGCCCCCCCCAGCTTCCCACGCAGTCTTGCGAGCCCCCCCGGGCCCTCCGGTCCTCGTGGGGGGCCCGCGCGGGGCCCCCCCCGAAAGCCCAGGGACGTCTTGGGCAGGGGCCGTTCTCGTCGTCGCCGTCGTCGTCGTCGCCGCCGTCGTCGTCGTCGCGGTGGTGGTCGTCGACCTCGGGATGTCTTCGGAGGGTCTTGGACTCTCTCGAGAGCCTAGAGGGTCCAATACCCTCTCTGGCTTGATGCCGAAAGGTCTAGAGTCTAGAGAGGCCAGAGAGTCCAAGCCTTGATGCCAGAACGCTCTAGAGTCTAGAACTTCTTGGCAGCAAGGTTCGGGACCTCCGCGGGGCCTCTCCAGTTCCTGGCAGCGCGCCGCCCGGCGCCCACGCACGTCCGGGAGGTTGTGGTTGGTGGTGTGGATGTTCGTCTTGTCTGGCCGTCTGTTGCCTCTCCTGCAGACATGTGGTGAACATCGTGGGGCGAAGCCGCCAAGTTTTTGCAGCGATGGCACCGTTTTGGCACCTGGAGGATGGGCACGCCACTCGTATGTGCTGATGACTCGTTCCTGTGTTTGTCGTTTGACCCATGCTTCCCGTTATCTGGCATTCTTGGAATCAATCCAGCCGTCTCCTTTTCTCAAGCCGTTGGATCGTTGCGTCGATCTTGCCCCCTACACGGTGACAACGACGACGACGACGACAATGACTACGACGACGACGATTCCGACGGTGGCCACGACGACGAGGGAATCGACGACGGCCACAGCGACGACGACGCCGACGCCGACGCCACCGGCGCCCCCGCGGCCGCCGCCGCCGCCGCCGATGACGACGACCACGACCACGGCCACGACCACGACCGCGACCACGACCGCGACGACGACCGCGGCGGCAACGACGGGGGGGGGGGCGCGACGGCGCCGCAGAGGTGCTGATGTCGGGCAGCGGCCCCGACGCGCAGAACGAGGCCGCCGCGGGTGTCGTCGTCGTCGTCGTCGTCGCGGTCTTCGTGGTCATCGCCCGCTTCGCCGCCGCCTTCGCCGCCATCGTGGTCGTCGTGTTCGTGATCAGGGCTGGACCCAAACGGTGTTTGGGCGATCTCGTGCGCCGTTTCCGTTCCGACTTCGTCTTGCGGTAGAGGTGGATTGTGAAGACAGAACGAGGGAGAACGAGGACAAAACGAGAACGAAAGACACCGCTTGGGTTCAGCCCTGTTCGTGATGGTGGCTGTCGTCTCAGAGGGGGAAAACGGTACTGATACCGCTGCCCTCGCCTACAGTGCCGTTTTGAATAAATACATGCTCCGCGTGCGGATCTGTATTAAAAATGCAGGGGATTTAGTATTAAAAACAACGATGAGTTCATGCCTAAAATTATTCATAAGTCAATCATGCATTAACGTCCTATATTTTTTGAAAATCCCATGTCTTAAAACTGCCCTGTATGCCGTCGCCACGGCCTGCTTCGCCTCGAAAGCCCACTCGGAGGGTGCCCGCAGAGTCACTGGCGACCCAGAGGCAGACTGCATCAAACTTGCGGCTGGCCTTATGATGTTCCAGCCTACTTTAGCCTTGATCACCAGGAAGAATTTCGAGCGCCCCAACCAGTACCGAAACTCAAGGGTTTTCACGTGCCGGGCCCTGGGAGACACTCGCCCGACATTGTTTCGATATGAATCATCGGGGGGGGGGGATCCCTAGGGGGTCTTCGAGGGGCTGCTTCCCATCTCTTTTCCCTGCTCGCCCCCTGGCTCGTCCTCGCCCTCCCTTCTCGCTTCTTCGTCCTCCTCGTCCCCTCGACCTGTCGGGCTTCTTCTGAGCAGCAGCGGGCGTTGGATGGTGTCGGTGTGAGCCGGGCTGCGCACAGCACGCAGCTTTGGCGGGCGGTGTGCTGGCGCTGGTGAGCATCCAGAGCCTGATCCCCAAGCGTCCGCAGACGTTCTTGGAGATCCCCGGAGCCTCCTGGTGGCTGTCGGAGGCCCGGGGAGTGTCAGAAACGTTCAGGGCCCGTGGAGAACGTTTTGGAACTTGCCCCCGCGACCCTCGAGGGCCGTCGGCCAAGAGCTGACAACCTGCTCCCGTGTGTCGTGAGTGCCGTCGGACCGAGGCGTAAGATGGAGATCGCATTCGGGGAGGGTGCCCTAATCTTCTTCGTGTCTGTTGGATGCTTCTCTGCATCGTGGGGGAGGGTATCCTCGAATGTCCTTCAGTTTGGCCAATGGAGGGTCTCATGTTCTTGAAGGATATTCTTCTGTCCTGGGTCCGACCGTATGGGATGTTCTCGCCCTGTCGGCCCTCGCCTTCCCTCGGGAAAACCCAAGGCCGCCCAAATAGCGGCCGAAGCACATCGGGTCGGAGAAGCGCTCCGCATCGCCGATGCATCGACAGGAGCCCGAGTTTCCCAATCCCGACGCCGCATAGGTCATGCAGGCCTAGGATCGGGATACATCGCGTCAGAGCGTCCGATGCACCGGGCGCCGCGGGACTCTCAGAGCGTTCCAGGACGGCCCTGTGAGCCCGATCTCAGACATCCCCAATGGGCCCCGATCCGATTTTGCTGCTTCGTTTGGCGATGCATCGTCGACGTATCCGCGATGCGGCGCCATCCTTCGATCCCAGGGGGATTTTTGACGAAACATAATAAATACCCCAAAATGGTCAAAGAATACTCCAGAAATAGTCTGGGGTCTATTTTTGGAGTGGTTTGTTGACCTTCTTGGGGTAGGTTTTGGGGGCATGTTCTAGTTTTCGTCGAAAATCCCCCTCTAGGGGGACACGCCCGACAGAGCCCCAGTGCTTCGGGCCCCGCACGGTGGCCCCCTTGGCAGGAGCCAGGAGAAGGGGGGAGGGCCGAAGCCAGGTGGCCGTGGGCGTGGGCGCCCTCGCGGGCAGCACCATCATGCTGCTCACGCTGCCGTGGTTCCTGGCGGTGTACGCGGGCCGCGTGAGCATCAACAAGGCCTGGCGTGCGCCTCCGAGGGCCAGAGTGAAGTCGGGCGTGCCCCCCTACAGGGGGATATTTTCGACGAGAAATGAAGAATGCCCCAAACATAGTAAAACGACAAAAGAGAAGTCCTTGACCTTCTTGGTGTATGTTTGACCTGATTTTTTTGGTGTATGTTCGGGGTATGTTTAAATGTTTCGTCGAGCATCCCCGTGTAGGGGGGCACGCCCGACGTAAGGCCAGAGATCGGCCCTCATTGCAGAGCCCACACGGGGAGGGGTGGCGCAGAGGCTTCATGTCGGTGTTCGGGCCCGGAGGCGGCGGTGCGTCGTGCTGCACTTTTTGGAGATCTGTCGGACGAGTCCCAGGTCAATCTCAGCATTCGCCAAGAATCTCGCTCAAAGTTCCTCCTCTTGCTCCCTTCTCGTCTGCATCCTCCTCCTCCGTGTCCCCGATCAGCGAGCAGTGGTGCGCGGCACATCTGAGCACAGGGGGCCGGGAGAGGGGAAACAAGGATGAGGTGGGATAGGGAAAGGGATAATCAGGGAAAGGGATAATCAGGGATGATGCTGTTGATGGGACGCGGTTGAGACCTCGCGGTTCCCTGAGGGGCTACGAAGTGTGGAATTGTCGCCATGTTCGTGGGCTCACGGGAGGTCGCGCAGAATGGACCTGTACGGTGACCCAGTTGAGACCTCGCGGCTCCTTTTCGGGGCTGCGAGTGTGAAACTGTCGCCATGTTCGTGGGCTCCTGGGAGGTCGCGTGGCGTGCAGTTGAAGGGGGACCCAGTTGAGATCTCACGGCTCCTTGGGGGGCCGCGGAGTGTGATTCAGGCGCTGTTTTCGTGGGCTCCTGGGAGGTCGCGTGGAGTGGACTTGTACAAGTATCCAGTTGAGACCTCGCGGCTCCCTGGGGGGCTGCGACGTGTTAAATTATCGCCACGTTTTGTAGGCTCCTGGGGGGTCCAGCGGAGTGGAGTTGCACGCGGATCCTGTCGTGACCTGGCGGCTCCCTGGGGGGGCCGCGAAGTGTAAAATTGTCTCCACTTTCGTGGGCTCATGGGAGGTCCAGCGGAGTGGAGTAGCATGGGCATCCCGTCGAGACCTCGCGGCTCCCTGGGGGGCTGCCATGCGTGCAATTGTCACCATTTTCGTGGGCTCCTGGAAGGTCCAGCGGAGTGGAGTTGTACGCGGATCCTGTCGTGACCTCGCGGCTCACTGGGGGGGCCGCGAAGTGTAAAATTGTCTCCATTTTCGTGGGTTCCTGGGAAGTCCAGCGGAGTGGAGTACCATGGGGCCAGTCGAGACCTCGCGGCTTCCTTGGGGGGCTGCAAAGTGCGCAAGGGTCGCCTTTTCCATGAACTTCAGGGGGAATCCGCCGGAGTCCGTTGTCACGCAGATCCCGTCGAGACCTCGCAGACCCCTGGGGGGGGGCTGCGAAGTTCGTGGGCTGCCTGCGGTGTCAGGCGAGTTCGCGGTGTGTGTGTGTGTGTGTATGTGTGTGTGTGTGTCGCCGGCGCTTCACTGGCACGGCGATTACTCGCATCCCATTTGGCAGGAATTCTCATAGCGCTCGGCGCTGTCCCGTCACGCAGCGTTCGTCGCTGTCGCATCGCAGCTCGCAGGGAACCGCTGCGCCGCGCAGCGCATGGCGCTGTGTTTTGTCTGCGTGGCCTCCCATCTTCAGCTGCCACTGGCCCGCCATTCCACCCCGCGCGCTTGTCTCGCCCAGCGCGACGCGCTGTTCTGCTCTAGAGCGCATGGCGCTGTTCTGCCCCGCGTATGCAGCACTCGGCGCTATTGCTGTTGCTGAAAATATCAGTCCCCCTTTCACCATCCTCTGGCTGTATCTGTCTCCGTTCCGATCTGGCCACTATTGCATGTTATCGTGTACTTCCGAGAGATCATGCGTACAGCGGGTCCTTGAATCTGTCTGTTTGGATTGAGCGGTCCTTCATCGGTTCGCCAAGCGTGTACAAAGGGTCGGGTACGTGACCGCGGAATGTGTGTCTCCTGGGGCTCCTTTTAAATTGAGGGAGAAATTGCGAAGACAACGGACCTCCTCGATCCCTGCGAGGAGCAGCGAGGAGAGCGCCTCGCCTTCCAGAGCGGCCGCCCCCTCCTCCTCGCTTTGGGGGCTAGGCAGCGCCAGCCGCGCATGCACGGCCTGCGCGGTGCCCACCCCGGGCGCGGGCTGGGGTTTGGCGTCCAGGGTCGCGCAACAGGCGCCGGCCCGCCGACCCCGAGTGCGTTGGCCCAAGCTCACGAGGGAAAACAGCACATTGACACAATTCATATTCGATTCCCCAGAAAATATGGGAACATATGGGAAATGGGGAGGGGGGACAAAAACCCAGAAACTATAGGAAAATATGGGGGACATTTTTTTGTGGGGGGGAATTATTTGTGTGTTCTGGGGCCCCTTCACAAAAGGCCCTCGGGGTGGCGGCGCTCGCGATCGGGCGGTCGCGGCCCCGAGGGGCCCCCCAACGCATGGGCGGTCCAATGAGCAGTCCAATCCTCCTCCTGCTCCTGGCGTCGTCGACCCCGTGCTGCAATCAGCGAGACCCCAAGTCAAGCAGTGGCGGAGCGTCCTGGCTCGCCCATAGCCCTACGAAACAAGGTTCTAAGAACCCTCTTTGTGATTTCCACGATTTCGTTCTTAGAACATTTCTGGCGGAGTCTGTCTTGTTTTACCACACTGGGTTTATGAACATTGTTCTTTGTTCTTAGAGCAGTTTTGGTTTCGAAGAAAAAATCGTGGTAGGGCTGTAGGAATGCCGGGACGGTCGTTCCCTGCTCAACCAACTTGATTGTTGGGCGAGGGGTTTTCAAGATTCCCGCCACGGCGGGCGGAGGATGCCTTCCGAACGCCATGTGGCCACCCTTTTGGTTTTTCCTTCACTCCACTTCCTTTTCCTCCGCCCCTCACCAGATATTCTCGTCCTCCTCCCGTCCTGCCCCCCCTCCTTCCGACCTCCCCTCCTCCGCCTCTCCTCCTCCTGCTTGTCCCCTCCGCCCCTCCTCCTCGAGCCCAGCCTCGAGGACGGCAACCTGAACTACAAGCCGACGGGCGGGGGGGAGAAGCTGCGGCCGGAGCACAGGTGCAGCCTGCTGAACTCCGCGGTCGCCGTCAGGGAAGACCCGCCGTGCTCGCATCGCCGATCCCAGGGGCCAGGAGGATCGAGGATGGAGAAAAGGAAACGAATAAACAGGATGAGGGTCGGCGCTCGGCGGCGAGCGAGGGGGAGAAGGGACAAGGAGAAGGCCTTCCCAGAAGTCTCCAGGACTTTCCAGAAACCCTCGCGATTTCTGGGAGTTTCATTCTGTGTGCCCAGGGAAGGCCGGGGGACGTCCGAGCCTGCTGAGAAGGCTTTCTCCTTCTCAGTGCCCCCCCTGGGCTTGCCGCCGAGAGGCGACGCGAGGGGTAGTGAAGCTGGGGGCCTCCCTGGGGGCTTCTTGGGCGCCTCTTGGGGGCCTCCTGGGGGCCTCTCAGAGCCTCCTGAGGGCGGGAGGCGCGCCATGCTATATTTTTTGCCCCGTGGGCTTGGCATCGCTCGGACGTGTGCGTTTCTTCCTCAGCGAGGACCATCGAGGAGCATCGTTGATCATTTGGCGAAAAAGCCACACACCAAAACCGAAAAAAGCACAGGGAATGGACGTCCGAGCGATGGCCAGTGGGCCGCGCGGCCAATTGGACACTGCTGGTGTCCTGTCCGACGTGCGCCCCCTCTCCGCGGGGCTGCGGGGCGGCCGCGGGATGACCGCGGTCGCGGCCTCGGCGTGGTGCCCTCGTGTCCTGTGGTTTCGGAGGCCACGTTGCCGTCGGAAGAGTCCCGTGTCCCGCCGCGTGTCCTGTGCAGTCAATTCTGCCTTGTACTCGGCGACGCGCAGAGGGGGGTAGGGGGAGGGGGGAGGGCTTCTTAGGAGCACCCCGGCTTCTCAGAAGGCGCGGGCCTTCTCTATAGACGTGAGGCCGAGACCTTCTGAGAAGCAGGGGAGCTTCTAAGAAGCCGTCCCCCCTCCCCCTACCCCCTTTTGCGCGCCGCCAATGTATGCTTCCTCCTCCCTCCTCCCCCTCCCCTCTCCCGATTGCCCGAGTCCGGGGCTACTCTAGGATTTCGCCTTATTTGTTGCATTGCTGTCGGCTGCTTTGACGCGCGCGTCTGGGAGGATGGCCCATTGAGAGGCAGCGGACTTCAAATGTGGCTGCATGATCGATTCGAGCCTTCAGGCGATTTCGTTGCCGAAAAATATGCCTTTTATGCTTGGGCTCCCAGGTCGCAATCTACCTCAATCGTCTTCCTAGTCCGAGAGTCGATGCGTTGTCTTGCATGTCTCGTGTCACGTTCTGGCGGGCCCGAACTCCATCTAGTGTTTCCGCCTTCCTACTTCACGGTTCCACCTAGTCGACGAGCGGGTACACATGATCAAGTTCTTGTGTTTGCAGATCCGGATGACGTCTCGAGGTACAATCTTAGCTAAAACGAGGGCCCCCTCGATCCAAGTAGCCACCCCTACTTTCCTAATTCATGTGTACGGCGCCAAAGTGAGATCCCCATGTTGAAAGCGAAGCGCCCTCCATCCTTGTAACGCTTGCAGGGTTTAAACATGTAAAGGCGAATGTTCAGGAGGGAAAACGCAACACACACAGACATAATGAATCGTCGACTCCCAGGCAAATATGGGAAACTATGGGAAGTGGGGGGAAAACCAAAACACAGAAAATATGGGAAACTATTGGGAATCCTGTTAGTTGCGTCTATTTATTTGTGTGTCCCAGGGCCCCTTCAAATGTGCAAGGCGCCAAAGCGAACGCCCCGTGTTGAGCATGGACGTCCCTCCATCCGTGTAACGGCTGCAGCGGTTCAAGACGAATGCGCGCGGTTTTGAGGAAGAGTTCCATGTTGACAGCCAGGTGTCCTCCATCCTTGTAGTTCGCAGGTGCTGCAAGCTTTCAGAACGATTGCGCTGTGGCGGCCGCTCCAGTTTGATCCCCCACACGCTTGCTTGCAAGTGATAGTGGCGACCGTGCGGCGGCCTGAGCTCCTTTTTGAAAACGGCCCTCCCCCTCATCCATTGAGGTTGGTGGAGCATCTCGTGCGCGTGATCAAGATCCCTGCGGAAGGCTCGGGCGCACCGCCCAGCCCGCCCTGCCGACACACGCCGGGTGGTCAGCTGAGGCGGACTCAACCACAGTGAAATGGGATGGAGCAGGAGAAACTCAGGAGGGAAAAAGCACACAGACACAATGAATCGTCGATCCCCCGGAAAATATGGGAAAATATGGGAAGTGGGGGGGAAGACAGAGACCCACAACATAGGAGAGATGATAGGGGGAATCGTTTTGTTTGTGTGTATCTATTTGTGTGTCCTGGGGCCCCTTCAGCCTTGGGCAGCGGCCTTCGGGCGGCGGCCTTCGGCAGCGGCGGCCTTATCGGGGGCCTTATCGGAGGCCTCGGGCAGGCCGTGGGCGGCCTCTGCGGGCACTCGAGGCTCGAGGGGCTCGGGAGCTCCTTGAGCGCCAGCGCGGCGACGAAGCCTTCTCCTCCTCCTCCTCCTCCTCCTGCTCGTCCTCCTCCTCCTGCTCCTCCTCCTCCTGCTCGTCCTCCTGCTCCTCCTCCTCCTCCTCCTCCTCCTCCTCCTCCTGCTCCTGCTCCTGCTCCTCCTCCTGCTCCTCCTCCTCCTCCTCCTCCTCCCCTTCCGAAGCGTGATAGAGGTTCTGAGTGGAGGCCTGCTGGCCTGCCGGCTTCCGCCGATCCGACGTCCCCCGACGCGGCCGCCGAGTGCCGCCGATCCGCCCTCGAGGCAGACCCTGGGGACGCCAGAGAGTTCTGAGGAGGAGGAGGAGGAGGAGCAGGAGGAGGAGGAGGAGGAGGAGGAGGAGGAAGAGGAGGAGGGGGGAGGAGGACGAGGAGGGAGGAGGAGGGAGGAGGACGAGGAGGGAGGAGGAGGGAGGAGGACGAGGAGGGAGGAGGAGGAGGAGGAGGAGGATGTTTGGGGCGTTCCACCACGTGCTGACGGCAAGTGGCGAATCCATGCATGTACTCCAGATCTCGTAATAAAAGGGAGGGGGTCTGGACCCTCCAAGACGAGCCATTTCAGACCCCCCCCGTGGGAGAACCCTCCAAAACAGTGTCCCCAGACCCCCTCAGGCCCTCCAAGATAGCCTGGAAGAGACCCCCCCCCGAAATGAGACCCCCCTCCCTTTATTACGAAATCTGGAGTATGCTTCTGCGTGTATACGCGCCAAAACGCACGTGCCGTATGCGGTGGTAGTACCATGATTGGTCCGTTGTTCAAATGGGGGGGCGGCGTGGTACAGCTCGCGCGTTGGCCTGCGGGGCTGGATCGCGAGCGCCCCACGTGAGCCCACGACCGCCCCCGATGGCCCCCAGGCGGCCTCGGAGGGCATCGGGAGGCTGCAGGAGGTCAGTATCGTTCGGCCGATCCCCATCCCCATTCCCCATCCTCTGCAAGAACCCCACCAAATTACCCCCCCAGTTGGGGACACACCCCTCGAAACCCGAAGGAGCGCCCTATATCCCCATCTAGAGAGGTAAATCGGCCAGTGTGGCCCAGGCCACGTCGCTGGGGATGGGGATCGGTTAAACGATACTCAGGAGGTCGCGAAGAGCTGTTCAATACACCCAAGACTCGCCAGAGAGAACCCGGGATTACCCCGTCAGGCCAGTAAACAGCCCAACGTGCTCCCGAGACGGCCCAAGGGGCCCCCGAGAGGATTCGTAAAACGCCCCCAAGATGTAAACACATCACTCGTCTTCCCGAGCAGTTTTTCGTACGAGTCGGGCATGCTTGCATTTTCAGCCTTCATATCGCCAAAGACGGCCCAAGAGGCCCTCAAGATAGCCTCAAGAAGGACCCAAAGTCGTCCAAGAGGTTTCCAAAACTGCCCAGGAGGGCCCCCTGAGGTCCCAACGACAACCCAAGAGAGCCCCCAGAGGGGCTCCAGTTAGCCCAAGATAGCGCGACGGGGCCCCCAGAACGCCCCGAAACAGCCAGAACAGACCTCCCAAACGACCCTGAGGCCCCCAAGACACCCTAGCCCAAAGACGTTCCAATGGGCACTGAAGACGGCCTCAACAACAAACAAAGAGAGGGGGGCACTCAACTTTGGAATAGTAACGACGATAGTTGGGCATTATCCACGTATGGGCAGATGTATTAATAACAGCAATAAGATTGGCCTTCGGACGACCCCGTTACCGTGCCTGGATCCTGGGTCAGAGGAATCCCGGATGCCAATCAGGGTTTCGTGACCTGGGTTTGGGGTCAGAGGATTGAAGTGGTACCGATGTGGTACTCATTGAGGCAGGTCGATCCTATCAGGCGTGGGTCCTTGGGACCTGGATTGTGAGCCAGAAGCAGTATGCCTCCAGTGATGCATGAATGGTATCACCTCAGATAATCGATCGCAATGAGGAGGAGGAGGAGGAGGAGAAGGAGGAGGAATATGACGAGGATGGGAGGAGGAGGATGAGGGGGATTGAGGAGGCTCAGCCCATTAGTGGAGCGCGCTCCGCTAATGGGAGCGAAGCAGCGGCAACTCCTTAGTTGGAGGCCCATTAGCGGGGCGCCGTTCCCGTGGTGGGCCCTGGAAACGACAAGGCAGTTTTAGTTGGCTCCGTTTCGCCGTTGCCTTGCCGGTTCCGTCGCAGTTGTTCGCCGGCTGCGCCGCAGTTTGTTTCCGGTTCAGGTTCCAATCCCAGAGCCGTTTGTGTTGCCTTTTGCGGTCGTTAGAATTTCACCGCTGCCATTTCCAAGAGACGCTTTTTGTGAAAGCAGAGAAGATACGACCTTGCCGTTTCGGTGGCCCCCTCTGAGGCCGCTCGGTTTTTTGGGGAGCGTTGCGATCCGAGTCCCCTGCTCGGAGGCCAGTTAAGGGAGTGCAGCTCCGCGAATGGGGTCTGAGCAATCCAAGAGACCTGGTTCGAGGCCTATTCGCGGAGAGCCGCTAAGCAAAAACGGACGTGACAAAACCCAGAGGCCTCCAGATCCGAGCTTTTGAATTCGAAGAATCTTGAAGATAAAGGGTTGAGGGATTGAGCAAGAGACCTGAGGACACGCCAACTACGTGCCAAAGTCTATCTATATCCACAATTACATACCCATAAATACACATCTATGTGTATCAGAGTGAGGGGGCCGAACGGTCATTCATCGTCCCTGGGTGCGTGGCTGAAGGGCGGATCCGTGGTGAGGAGTCTGCTTGTTGTTGTTGTTGTTGTTGTTGTTGTTGTTGTTGTTGTTGTTGTTGTTGTTGTTGTTGTTGTGGTTGTTGTTGTTGTTGTTGTTGTTGTTGTTGTTGTTCGCGAGGACACTACTGGAGGCCCGTTGCTCGACCCCCCCCCCCGAGCAACACCACGGGGCCACGCACGGGCCCTGCAGGGCCCCTGGTCCGAGCAACGCCACGAGGCCTCGCCAGGCCGCTGCGGGGGTCTGCAGGGCCCGGCGGCGTTGCTCGGCAGGTCCTTTCGGGACTGCTGCGGGGCCCCATACAGGCCCCAAAGGGCGCACCCCTCTCACGGATCGTGGCCCTGGCCCCACAGGGAGCTCCACCGAGGTTTGATTTGGGCACACCCCTCTCGAGGATCGTGGCTCAGTGAGCTCCACCGAAGCTTGGTTTCGGCGCACCCCTCTCACGGATCGTGGCCCTGGCCCCACAGGGGGCTCCACCGAGGCTCCATTTCGGCACACCCCTCTCGAGGATCGTGGCCCTGGCCCCACAGGGAGCTCCACCGAAGTTTGATTTCGGCGCGCCCCTTTCACGGATCGTGGCCCCGGCCCCACAGGGAGCTCCACCGAGGCTTTATTTCGGCACACCCCTCTCGAGGATCGTGGCCCTGGCTCCACAGAGAGCTCCTCAGAGGCTTCATTATGGCACACCCCTCTCGAGGATCATTTTGGCACACCCTTCTGCAGGGTCCTGCACGATTCCATCGGCATCCTATAGGGATCCGATAGGATCCTTATAGGGTCCTGCACGGTTCCATCGGCATCCTATAGGGATCCGATCGGATCCTTATAGGGTCCTGCACGACTCCATCGGAGTCCTATAAGGAGGAACCTATAGGATCCTTACAGGGTCCTGCACGATTCCATCGGAGTCCTATAAGGAGGAACCTATAGGATCCTTACAGGGTCCTGCACGATTCCATAGGAACACCCTATAAGGATCCCACAGGATCCTTACAGAGTCCTGCAGTCCTGCACGATTCCATAGGAACCCTAGAGGGATCCTATAGGATCCTTGCAGGGTCCTGCACGATTTCATCGAAACCCTAGAGGGATCCTATAGGATCCTTACAGGGTCCTGCGCGATTCCACAGGAACCCTGGAGGGATCTTATAGGATCCTTACAGGGTCCAACAGGTTTCTATAGGAACCTTGGAGGGATCTTATAGGATCCTTACAGGGCCCTGCACGATTCCATAGGAACCCTGGAGGGATCCTATAGGATCCTTACAGGGTCCTGCACGATCCCATAGGAACCTTATAGGGATCCCATAGGATCCGTACAGGGTCCTGCACGATTCTATAAGAATCCCATAGGGGTCTTATATGATCCTTACAGGGTCCTACAGGATTCCATCGGAACCCTATAGGGATCCGATAGGATCCTCACCGGGCCCTGCAGGATTTCATCGGAACTCTATGGAGATCCCATAGGATCCTTACAGGGTCCTGCACGATTCTATAGGAACCCTAGAGGGATCCTACAGGATCCTTACAGGGTCCTGCACGATTCCATCGGAACCCTATAGGGATCCTATAGGGTCCGTGCAGGGTCCTGCAAGATCCCATAGGAACCCGATAGGAATCCAATAGGATCCTTACAGGTCCTGCGTGATTCCATCGGAGTACTATAAGGAGGAACCTATAGGATCCTTACAGGGCCCTGCACGATTCCATCGGAACCTCAGAGGGACCCCATAGGATCCTTACAGGAGCCTGCACGATTTCATAGGAACCCTATAGGGATCCCATAGGATCCTTACAGGGTCCTGCACGATTCCATCGGAACCCTAGAGGGATCCCCTAGGATCCTGACAAGGCCCAACAGGTTCCCATTGGAACCTTGTAGGGATCCTATAAGATCCTTTCAGGGTCCTGCACGATTCTATGGGAAGCCTGTAGGGATCCTATAGGATCCTTACAGGGTCCTGAACGCTTCCATAAGAACCCTGGAGGGATCCGATTGGATCCTTACAGGGTCCTGCACGATTCCATCGGAACCCTGGAGGGATCCCATAGGATCCTTACAGGGTCCTGCACGATTCAATAGGAACCTTACAGGGATCCGATCGGATCCATACAGGGTCCTACAGGATCCCATCGGAACCTTCATAAGGGTCCTATAGGATCCTCACAGGGCCCTGCAGGATTCCATCGGAACCCGATAGGGATCTTATAGGATCCTTACAGGAGCCTGCACGTTTCCATGGGAAACCTATAGGGATCCTATAGGGTCCTTACAGGGCCCTGCACGGCTCCATAGGAATCCTATAAGGATCCTATAGGACCCTACAGGGTCCTGCACGATTCCATAGGAACCCTATGGGGATCCGATAGGAACCTTACAGGGTCCTGCACGATTCCATAGGAGTCCTATAGAGGAAGAACCTATAGGATCCTTACAGGGTCCTGCACGATTCAATAGGAACCCTGGAGGGATCCCATAGGATCCGTTCAGGGTCTTGCACGGTTCCATAGGAACCCTAGAGGGATCCTATAGGATCCTTACAGGGTCCTGCACGATTCCATAGGAACCGTAGAGGGATCCTGTCGGATCCTTACAGGGTCCTGCACGATTCCATCGGAACCCTATAGGGATCCTATAGGATCCTTACAGGGCCCTGCACGATTCTATAGGAACCCTAGAGGGATCCCATAGGATCCTTGCAGGGTCCTGCACGATACCATAGGAACCCTAGAGGGATCCCATAGGATCCTTACAGGGTCCGGCACGATTCCATAGGAGTCCTATAGGGGTCCGATAGGATCCTGACAGGGTCCTGCGCGATTCCATAGGAGTCCTATGAGGAGGAGGAGCTGGCCTCGCTGGCGCGTGGTCGGTTTTCGGACACAGGAGTGCGTGGGGAACAGTAAGGGAGACAACGGAATGCGTTAGCGTATGACAGAGGTGTTGCGCGTTGCTCCCCCCTCCCCCCCCCCCGGGGCAATAACTGCAACGTGTGTCCTGGGGCAGTGCGCTCGCCCCGGGGGCGAGGACACACCCACGGGCCCCGCCAGGGTGGCCTGAGAGAGTGTCCTTGCGTTGTTGTTGTTGTTGTTGTTGTTCTTCTTCTTCTTCTTATTATTCTTCTTATTATTCTTCTTCTTGTCGTCGTCGTCGTCGTCGTCGTCGTCGTCCCCCCGCGACCCGGCCCGCGACCCGGCCCGCAACCCGACTCGCAACCCGGCCCGCGACCCACCCCGCGACCCACCCCGCGACCCACCCCGCGACCCACCCCGCGACCCACCCCGCGACCCACCCGCGACCCATTCGCGACACACCCGCGACTTGGCCCGCGACCCACCCGCGACCCACCGTCGACCCACACGCGAGCAAACTGCGACCCAACCCGCGACCCACCTACATTGTTTTAACGAACAAGTCGGCGCCTGCGGCGGGCTCATTGTATAGCTTGAAAATTTTGCGCCTGCGGCGGGCTTCTTCAGAGCCTCGCAGACTGTAGACGTCCGCACCGCCACCTCACTCTTATCCGCAACTGCGGGGTGCTACGTATATATGTATAAATGTGTAGGGGGTACCTAGCCCCCCAAAGTGCACTGATTTATCTTCCCGCCGATTCCGGCCGGGCGCCAAAAAACATCAAACGGGGCCGACAGATGTCCAAGAGGGCACCAGGATGGCTCAAGAGCGTTCCAAGAGAGCCCAAGACCGCGCAAAAGCGTTTCGAAATGGGTCCAACATGGCTTGAAGACAGCCCAAGAGGGCTTCAAGACGGCCAAGATGTAATCAAAAGGACTCCCACCAGGCACTCAGACGGCGAAACAAGTAAGTTTTTTGCCGCCGATTTAGCTGTTCCGTGCTTCCAACGGTCCAAGACTGCCCACGAGGCCCCAGAAATCAGCTCAAGACGGCCCAAGAGGCACCCAAAGAGGGCGCCACAACGGTGCAAGAGAGCCCCAAGACGACCCCAGAATGCTCCAAAACGGCCCAAGAGGCGCCCAAGATCGCCCAAGAGGGCCCCAAGAGGGCCCCAAGACCGCCCCAAGAGGGGCCCAAGAGGGGGAACACGAACCGACAATTCGAGCCTTCCGCCCCAAAAGGCCCCGGGGAGGTCCCAAGAAACCCCCACGAAAGCCCTAAAGGCCCCAAAGAGACCCAAAAAGAGGCCCCAAGAGCACCCCAAGTAGCCCCCAAGTAGCCCCCAAGGGCCTCCAAAACATAGCAGTGCATAGCAAGGGACCGCCTATCCTATCGTGGCATGGCAGCGTTGCATGACATGACCGCACAGCACGTGTCAGTGCATATCACAGTATGGTTCAGCATGCCTTAGCATTGCGTTCCATAGCGGTGTCTAGCTAAGCCCAGCCTTGCACAACATGACGTAACATTGCCTAGCATGGCATTGCATCTCATGACACGTCGTGGCCTAATATGGCATTCCAGTGTGCTAAAGTAATCGAACAGCACAGTACTGCTCTGCGCAACAGTAAGTAGGAAGCATGCAGCTATCACCCCCCCCCGTTGTTGTTCTTACTGTCGCCCTGATCATGTTCACCTAGAAGGTCATATCATGGCATATCATTACATTGCGTTGCGTAGTCCGACATGCCGTTTCTGTCCATACCACGTAACGTGGTAGCATCGTTCCGCGCAGGAGACATTGCATGATATGGCTCAGCGTATCATCCCATGGATTATCCTCGCATTCCAAAGCACAGCATGGCATGACATGCAATGTGCAGTGTAGTGTATATCATGTTATTACATGTTATACTGCATTGTGACAGTGCGCTTTATAGCGCATAGTGCAACATGGCGCTGTAGCGCTGCACTTTGTCTGGCCCATTGATTGGCGACGGATCCGAGGTCGACTGGTCGATGAGAGCGGAGGCGGAGGAGGAATGAGGATTGAGGCAGAGGCATGAGGAAACATATAATGTTGACCTCATTATTCACGACCGCTTTGTTGTCTCAGTGCGGTCAGCACTCGACCAGCTATAACCTCAGCGCGCGCGAAGCGCGCGGGTTGGTTCTCTCTTATATGTATATGCATTCTTTAAAAAGAATAACATGTACTTTGTGCATACATATATCTATATATATATGGATGTATTCATATGTATGGGTACGTATATGTGAAATACATTATATATGCCATATTCTTTCCACCCCAAAGGTAGCTAAGGCCTCTGGCGACCAGAAAGCTGCTCCAGAGATGTTTCGTCTTGTTTGGTCGTTTCGTGGCTCGGAGACAGCCAAACAACGACTTGGGATGACAAGCCGTGGGCTGACGGTCCGAAATGGTCGAGCCGCCCTGGTGCTCTGAGCCATCAGGGCGGATGTGCTTCTGGTCATTCCCATATCCCCTCGCTCCCGGGGCGGCAGAGCAAGCACGCAGCCAGAAATCAAGACTGGCGCGAAGTGGATGCTGGGCACCTTGACGTCCTACGTCATCATCCAGGGCTCCGCATTCACCGTGGACCTGCCCGGAGGCACGTCCGGCCCGGTCACAAAGGAGCAGGGTGACGTTAGGAAGGAAGCCGCCGTCGAGAACAATTTCGCGCTCGTCGGCTTGATCTTTTGCGTTATCGAATTCGCGTATTATTTGTATATTCAGGCATCCGGTGCCAATGAGGAAGATGGCCAGGTGGACAAAAAGATCATCGACGCGCAAGTGAACGCCCTCAAGAGTAAGAAAACCACCCTACGGGGTGTCATGGGAGACATGAGGGAACAACAGTGGACGACAAGATTGCGTACAAGCACGGACCTAGAGCAGGCGCTCCTCAGCGACGGTGAGACCAAGACTGAGGTTCAGCGCATGTGCAAAATATTGAATCCCTTCTTCATGATTTATGACGCTGACCACAGTAAGACCATCGACCGTGAGGAGTTCAGCCAGATTCTTAGAGATGTGAACGAGAACGTTTCGAAGGATTACCAACGGCTGCTTTTTGATGCCGCCGATGCTGACCACAGCGGGAGCATCAGTTTCGAGGAGTTCGTCGCGTGTGTGATAGCTATAGCGATGGGTGATGGAGAAATCAACAAGCAGGAACATAACGAATCTAGGAAGACAATTCGGCGCGAGCCCACCAAGTTTATCCTAGATGCTTGCGCCTTTCTTCCAACCCCAGGAGAGGAGAGTTGTGACGACCAGGAATGCTGGGGCGCCCTGCCGAAGTGAGCAAAGTCGAGACGGAGCAGGAAGAGCAGGAGGACAAGGAGGAGGAGGAGGAGGAGGAGGAGGAGGAGGAGGAGGAGGAGAGAGAGTGACTTCATGTGGAGGACATTGGGAGGGAGGATTGGAACACGTCAATGCATGAAGGGCATGATCATCGGACTGCCAACCTTTCTCTTGAGCGCGCAGCTCTCCCGACGGGGACGCCTCCCGGGCCTTTGTGAGGGCTCGTCGCTGCTGGTGCCTTGGCGTGCGCGTGCTGGAATTCTTGGGTTCGGGGGGTCCAGACTGATCTCCTGCACACTCTCGTGGCCGTCGCCCCGAGGCCCCCTCCTTGGGTCTCTCCTGGGGCCCTCCTTGGGCCCTCGCCCTCTGCAGGCCCTGTGCCCCCCTGAAGAGCTCCGTGGGCCGCTCGGGAGCCGCCCGGGGGCCCAGTCGCGGCCGTCTCAGGGGAAGAGAAGGAGGAGGAGGAGGAGGAGGAGGAGAAGGAGGAGAAGGAGGAGGAGGAGAAGGAGGAGGAGGAGGAGCTGGAAGTGGAGGAGGAGGAGGAGGCCGTCTCGGGGCCCCCTCTCGGAGGCGCGGGCGCCGACGATCTGCGGGCCATGGTTGCACCCTGCCGTCACCTGTGGCCCAGGAGGGTCGGAGGGCGCGGTGCGAGGATCACTGGACAGAAGGCCGAGGGCGGGGTTCGAGGGCACGAGATTAGAGCGTCGAGGATCGTGGACTCTATCGGGCCACCTTCGGGTTCCTGTTCGGCCTGCCTGGGACCGCCTCGGGCCACTCCAGTGCTTCAGGAGCCCATCCAAAAGAGCCAGTGTGCTTGGCATCGCTCGGACGTGTGCATTTTTTCTCGGCGAGAACCATCGAGGAACATCCTTGATCATTTGGCGAAAAAACACGCACGAAACCGTAAAAAGCACAGGGAAAGGACGTCCGAGCGATGGCGAGTGTGTCAACATCGACAATACAGCGGAGGCCCCTGCCAGGAAGCGCCCTGCTTGCCTCCAGGGTGCTCTGGGTTTCTTGGGTTTCGATAGGTTTGCTGTGGGCAAGCGTGACGCTCCCACACCAAGAATCGATGGATTTCCTGGGGTCTCAGGGTGGGGTTTCTTGTGGAAGGTTTCTTGTGGACTGGCCTCCACTGTATGTTGAAACGTTGTTCCCCAAGCAGTGATTGCACTTGGGCAGTTGCGTTGATACGCAGTTGGTTGTGTCTGGCGGGGTTTTGCCTGGTGTACTGCGCTCAGGGGTGCTCTTAGCTCTCTCCGATCCACTGCTGAGTATTCGGGCCGCTCTGTGCGGAGTTTGCCTGGTGGCCTGCTGATCGCCGGTGGTGAGCGCCTCGTGGGCACCCCGTGCGATGGGCGGTGCCTTAGCGGGCCCCGGAAACGGCAGGGCCGTTTTTTCACCGTTTCCAGAAACATGCCCCTTGAAAATGGAAACGGCAAAATAACGGCGACCAGAAACGGCAAAAAGACGGTTCCTGGATGGGAACCGGAGCCGGAGCCGGTCAAATAACGGCGACGGAAGCGGTAGAAAACGGCGTCGGAACCGGCCCCAAAAAACGGCAAGACGGAGCCCGTAAAAAAAACGGCTTTGTCGTTTCCAGGGCCCAGAGAGCAGAGTTGAAATGAAATATCCTGCCACTTAAGGGATAATCTCATACATGTTGAGTCATTGTGCCTGCCATGCAAGTGGTCGCCATGTCCTTGGGATAGGCGTTGCATCGGGAAGCATGTCTTCCAGGGCCCACTAAGGGCCCTGGCGTTTCCAGGGCCCACTAAGGGCAGTGCCCAGTTTGTGGCCAGTCGTGGGCGCCTCGGTGGGCGCCTGAGGGGGCTAGGCGGGTCTGCCGGCGCTTCGCGCGGTGGGCGGGTCGTGGGCGCCTGGTCTGCTGGCAGTGCATCCGGGTGTGGCCAGGGCCCCCACGAGGGCGCGAAGTTCCTCGCGCTTCGCTGTCCTCGATCCTTCTCTCCCCCTCCTCCTCGTCCTCCTTTTCTCCCTTTGGGGGGGCGGCGCGAGAGCGCGAAGCTATGCGCGCTCTCGCGCTTCGCGGAGCGCGGAGTTGGGAGCCCTTGGGCATAGCCCTGACCCTATGTGAGGGGTCCCGGTTCGTGATGGGGCTTCGGAGCCCCCCTAAACTGGCCAGAGTCGCTAAACCAGGTCTGCCGTAGCTGGTGTGTTCTCGGGCGACGGCAGTTCCGGTCAGTGGAACGGGGCGGGGGCGCGTCCCCCAGCACGCATCACAATATCAGGTCCCACTAAACCCAGTTCTGCCAACGCCCGATACATCCGAGCACGGTATATGACTACCACCACCAAGATCGAGAATCATCTACGATACGTTTTGGTGCAGTTTTGCTTTGGTTAAAAGCCCGGAGTCCCCCTCCCGCCGCCAACGGCAGCCGGGCTGCCCCCTCTCCCTTGAGGGCCGAAGCAGAATTCATCAAAGCACGCGCGGTGGTGGTGTATAATTTTTGTTTACCAAGAGGAGCGATTCTTATACACCACCACCAAGAAGTGCTGTTTCTGCTTCAGGAACTCCCCATGCCACGGCGCCTGCGGGCTGCGCCGCGTTCCTCTTCGCCGTGGCGTCGCGGCGTCGTCTGGCAGCACCCTGCCCCTAACACTTTTCTGCGGTAAATTCGTGTTGCGGGCGGTGGTGGTGTATAAACAATGGCCTCGCATGCATGTGCAGGCCAGCCACAGTTGGGGGAGCTGTGCTCCCTACCCCCCTTGGGGGACCCCTCGATCTCGACACGCCTCTCGAGAGATCGTCGATGCGATGGGCTCCCCCAGAGGGGGTAAGGACCACAGCTCCCCCAGTTATGGCTGGTCGGAGGTGTTTCAGGGGAGGAAAAAACACACAGACACAATTAATCGTCGATTCCCAGGAAAATATGGGAAAATATGGGAAGTGGGGGGGAAGACAAAAACCCAGAAAATATGGGAAAGTATGGGGAATTGTTTCATTTGTGTGTATTTATTTGTGTGTCCTGGGGCGCCTTCAGTGTTGCACCCCTCTTTGGCTCTCCCCGCGCGGCTCCCGCCGCGGGGGCGGGGCGCGCCCCCCGGGGGCAGCGACCGTGCCAGCGCGCCGGGCACGACGCCGGCGGGCACCCTCGACGCGTCGAGCCCGCGGCCGCCCACGGCGGCACGCTGAGCGACCCCAAGGTTCAGGAGGCGAAAAAACACACAGACACAATTAATCGTCGATTCCCAGAAAATATAGGAAAATATGGGCAGTGGGGGGGAAGACAGAAACCCAGAAAATATGGGGAAATATGGGGGATCTTTTTATTTGTGTGTATTTATTTGTGTGTCCCAGGGCCCCTTCAAAGGTCCACGCGGTGGCTTTCGGGCCGGGCGAAAGGGGGAGTTTGGGAAAGGGGGGGGTACGAAATTTGCGGCATGCAGCTGGTTTCGGCCTCGCCGAGGGGCCCGTTCCTCGATGCATATATCCGCCTCCGGCTCCGGGAGGCGCTGGGAAGATCAGCTACGGGAGCTGATTCTCAAACCCCCCCTTTGCTATCCCCCCCTTTTGCCCGACCCGAGGCTTTCTGGGAAGATCGGGGGCGGCAGAGAGGGGGGGGATGACTGGGCGGGGGTGGATTTCATGGCGTGGGCCATGATATTCGAGCGAGGAACGCCACTCCCCAATCGGGGATGCAGGCGAGCGCTCGGGCGGCAGCACAACAAGCATCCAGTCTTGCCGCTTCTACGAACAACTGTATCACCTAACTTCGCGCACTGCGCCCCGCGATGCAATGCACCAGGACATACGGTCAGAACTAGAACATGGACGCACCGCAGATGTCATGGCGCCTCTTCTTATTTCATTGCGTCCCTGGCCCCCCGCTGGGCCGCGCACGTGCCGCCGGTTATGATCTGCACCCCCCCCTCTTGGACATCCCCCTCTTGGCCGCTCCCGGGACGAGGGAGGGGAGGCCACCGACTACGTCCTCAAGCCCCATTGCGCGATGGCCATACCAAGCGACATCCCCTGGGAGACGTGGCGCGAGGTCACCAGCGAGCTCTGGGGGGGCCGTCCACAGCACGCTGGCTTTGCAGACTCCCTCCTGCGCGACACGGAGGCGGACCCTGACAGCAGTGCTGCTCAGCGCTGGGCCGACGAGGCATGGGGCTGGTTCGGCACACCGTCGAGTCCACGATGCAGATGGCAATCGACAGGTTCATTGATGATGGGGGTGCTCGGTGGGAGGCTCCTTGGCGCACGGGCGAGAAGCATGATGCATGGTATGCCGCTGGACGCCCTCATCCGAGACCTCGGCGAGCTGGCGCCCACCGCGCCACCAAGGGCACGGAGGAGGTGATCCAAAGGACCTTCAATACCACCTCGGCAGCGACAGGATCAGCTTTCGGAACCGAAAGGTGTCGAATTAGCTGTACGAGCTTCGGCGCCCGAGCTGGCTAGAGGCCCGCGGGCGAGGCACCAGCAGAGAGGCGATGGACCTGCGCAAAAAGCTACAGAGGCAGGTGCTAGACCTCGACCTTGGCACGCGCAGCCGACACCCAACTCGCACGCCAGAGCGGCCGTCGCCATGACCACCGGCACGCTGACGCGCAGCGAGGCCGAAGACCAGAATTAACGACTGGACAGATGGCGCAACCTCCTGCGCAGCTCTGACCAGGCAGCCTACAGGTGGCTCAAGGGCAGCATCCCGAAAGACACAGCGGTCCGACAGGGCGACGTGGTGTCCAGTTTCTGGCACGCCGGTGGCGTAAAGTTGGGCGCTCGAGTTCCTGGCACGCCGGTGGCGTAAAATTTGGGCTCGTGAACTTCCAGACTTGGACGCCGCCCGCCGCCGCCTCCGAGCGTGGATGCTGCGCCTACAGTAACGGCCATGGCCCCCCCTTGACTGGGACGCGGTCTGGCGTGCGATGCAAGAGCAGCGTGCGATGCAAGAGCAGCAAGACTGCTGGGCAGGAGACGAACTCTTCTCTGCGAAGCTACTACCCGTTGAAAGTTTTGCATCCCTGTGCTGCACATACGAGGCGTTCGGGGTGGTGCCGGCCGCGCGGCGGGGATTCCGACAGACGCATATTCCGAAAGAGACTGCGGACTTCATAGGCAACTTCCTTGATGTGGAAGACTTCCGCCAAATCTCAGTGGGGTTCCGCCTGGTACTGGTCGTGGGCCAGCGCCAGGATCAAGTCACCAGGCTGTAAGAATTGGCTGGTCCTGTGGTGGACGAGGACATGAAGGGCGCGAAGGCCGGGAAGGAGGTGCATGACGCCTTGGCGGAACTGTCCTCCGAGGCCGCCACGGGCGCCTCTTGCACGTCGTGGGGGCATGCCCTCGCGTTCGACATGCTGCATCCGCACATCGTGCGAGAGGCGCCGGACATCCTCGGCATGCCAGCTACGATCGTGAAGATCATAGTCAGTATCTGGAGCAACCAGCGCAGGCTCCTCCTTCTCGGCGGGCGCGGGCATCGCCGCGCACAGCACGTCGGCGCGAGCATCCCCCATGGGGACCCGCGGAGCCCGATGTGCCCCAGCGCGGTGCTGCTGGGGCCACTGCGGGGGGTGACGGCGACTTCCCCGTATTTGTCGCACCAGTCCTACGTGGACGAAAGCACGCGGGAGAGCCATAGCCCTCACGGCATCGTCGGCGCTGCCAAGCTTCGGAGGGGGTGGGGCGACGCCCTGGGCATGCGTGACAATTCGAGAAAGGACCAGTGGTTCCACAGGGACCCGCGCGGGCGCCGTCGAACGGCCGCCCATCCCGACATCGGCCCTGATCGTGTCAAGGACCACCTGATCGTACTCGGCGCCAAGATCACTGGTGGAAGCCCGAGACGAAGAAGGAGGCGGCGAGGTGCGCTGCAGCCGCCGCCCTGGCACGGCGCGCACGCGCGCTCCCTCTTGGGTCCTTGCCCAAGCAAAGGGTTATCGAATCCGCGGTATTCACTCAGCGAGTATGGTTGGCACGAAACTGTTCCTGTTGCAGCAGGCCAGCCGCGTCGCTCGCTGTTCCTCTAGCGAGTATGGTTTGCGACCACCACCAGCAGCTCGTCTTCCAGGCCACCGACCTCCCGCGGCATGCAGCAGGAGAGCCCAGCACCGTCGTGATGGGACACCGCGCCGACGTCAAGTACCGGCGCCAGCAGTCGGCGCTGACGGCAGTTGCCCGCGCTCAGAGAGAGCAGGCTGGAGGTCGAGGAGATCTCGCCCGCCCCCCGCAGGCCAAACGCGGGTTGCCAGGGGCCCTCAACAGGCACTTTCGTTGGACAGGGTGGAGGCCCCGCGACCAGTTACCCTGGACATGGGTACATGCTGGCACCGAGGCCTGTTTCTCTCTGCGGCCTGTCGACAGAGACTGGGTGCGACCGAAACGACTTGCCCACGTCCTGCGCGAGGCGTGGCGGCACCGCAAGCACCGGGCGCTCTCGGCCTAGGAGGGGCGGGGGGCGCCCCTCGCACAGCTGGCCGACAATGTCAATGGTCGGGAACCACTGACGAGCAAAAACGCAGGAAAGCAAAAATATCATGCTTCGCAATTTTGTTTTTTTGCTGGGCGGATTTTGATTCGCCGCGCGCCCCGCGTCGGGGAAAAGCGCGGTGCCCGCACAATGCGCGGCGACATGCGGGGAGGTTGTGCGATGGCAGGCGTCTGTTAACGCACAGTAGTTGAAAACCGCGATCACCTTAGACGGCCAAAGATGGCCCCGTGGGGCCTCCCAAGACAGTTCCCCATATCGGGGAATCGCAATGTGTTGGCGTCGGCTTGTTGTGTTGTTGGAAACGTGACGAGGTCTTGAGTCGCGTTGCTATTTTTCTGTGTTCTTGGTGTGCCCAGCGTGCTGTGTGTTCTATGTGTACCCGCCGTGTTTGGTGTGATTGTGATGACTGGTGTGCCGCGTTTTTTCGTTCACCGCCGCCCCAAGAAGGTCGATCATAACATTTGCCGGCCACTATCGCCATCCATCAGTTTGTTCGCCGTCATCCTCGTAATCCGTCGCAAGATGGGGGCAGTGAAAAGGAACGGCGCGGGGAGAGCAAAAATTGAGGGGTAAATTTGGATTCCCCGGAGGGAGAGCAAATCTCCTCCCAGGCCGTCCTCGAAACCGTCCGCGCGCACCGTCGGGAAAAACCGCCTCCATCTCACCCCAAAAAATTTGCTCTCCATCTTTTCGTGCATGCAGGAGGGCCCGGCGCTGCAGACATCCTCTATTTTTTTTTGCTCTCCCAGATTTGCTCTCCGCCTCTTTTTTTTTGCTCTCCAGATTTGCTCTCCCGCTCGCCTCCGTTTGGGAAGGGGTCGTAGGGATTCTCCATTGGATGGGACAGGGGCCACGAAAAGGGTAACGGAGGGAGGATGGGGTGAGGGGGGAGGAGGGAGAAGGGAGGAGGGGGTGAGGGAGGCCGGGAAGGGGAGGGGCAGGGGAGGGAGGAGGGGGAGGCGCAGGAGCAGGAACACGAGAGGGAGGAGCATGAACAAAAGGACGGAGGAACATTAGGGGGAGGAGCAGGAGGCGGAGGGGGAGGAGCAGGAGCAGGGGGGAGGAGGAGACGATCAGGAAGAGGAGGGGGAGGGGGGAAGATGGGGAGGGAAGATGGGGAATTGTGAGGAAGAGCAGGGGCAGGTGAGGAACATGCGTTTTGCTGCGTTCCTGTTGTTGCTTCTGCTGTTCCCTCTCGTCCTTACTGATTCTCTCCATTTTCGTCCTCGTATTTGCTTTCGTGCGAATCCTGAGAGATCATCGTTTTTCGGCTACTCAACCAATCGGCGTCAGACGTCGTGGTATGGCTCTGTATAAGGACTCGTTCTCTCCCAGAAAATGAATTAAAATTACAAGATTTTCTTAATAGATTTGCTTAATGGGGTCCGCGTCAGTGCTTGGCCACCAGTGAACAATGATCCCAAGCGGGTCAAGGCCATCCAGGAAACATCCAAACGGGCGCGGTGACTAGCCTGGCCAAGTACCATGTGCAGACCAACGGGGCCTCCGCGCCCGTTTGCCCATGATGTGGCGCCAGCCATGGTGCACTCAGCCACATCCTCGGGCACTGTCCTGGGCTCCCGGGTGCTGTTCGGAGACCGGCCCGCGGCGGTGTGGAACACGCGCAGGGGCGGCTCGGGTGCCCCGCGGGGGCCGCGCTACATGCAGGCAGAGACCGAAACACGTTCGAATGGTTTTTGTCATGTTGACAAGGGGATCTTTGATCGCAGTATTGGGCGGGGGCGGAGATGTCCCGGACCCCGCCATCGCGGCGCCTAGCCTGGCAAGGTTTTGGCGCAAGTACATGCGCGATGCCAACTAGTAGTAGCGTATAATGTTCTCCGAAAAGCCCCGTGCGCCCGCGAGCTCAGGTCAAAGGGGGCGGGCGGCCAGCCTCGCCTCCTCCTTCTGGAGCCCACGTGGAGACGTGGCCTGGCGCACCCCGCGAAAACCCTAAGGGCAGCAGGAGAATGGCGGAGGGCGGCTGGGGTCAGAGAGACATCGCACCAAGCGCGGCGGAGTGGCTGAGGGAGCTTGCCGAGGAGGCAGGAGCGAGAGCCTCCGAGCACCCTGAGAATTGGTACAGGGGCCGGATTGCGGGTCAGAGCAGGGGCGCCTAATCTGCCTGTTCAGAGGCAGGAATCGCGCACGAGCGAAGCCCTCCAGGCGCGGCAAGGGGCGCAGAGACAGCGATGGATCCCGAGCAGAAGGCGAGCGGAGGGCGCACGCGCAGCCCGGGGGGCCCGACAGAAATGCAGGGGGCGAGATGCCCAGCGCGCCGAAGGCAAGGCGTCGTCGACGGGATGCCTCCACGGCCGCAGGCCCGTCAGGTCGCCAGGCTGGCGCGCGATAGGGTCGGCCTGCAATTCAGCCTCGAGGAGAGGGTCCAAGGGCTGCCAAAGTCGAAGTTGACACAGCAGTAGCCTTGACATAAACTGTCGTCGGTCCGCGCGACTTTCTTGGATCGGCGCTAGACCCCATCTTCCCCTGGCGGCGCCACTGGCGCCGCCTAAATGGTCCGACGCGGATCCAAGAAGTCCGCGCGGACCCCCAGCAGTATGTTCATAGCGTTGGCATTTTTTGTTCAGGGTGTTACGAAGCACCCGTCTTCGACGAATGGCGGCCCTGCGCTCCACGCTCCAGGGCCGCCCCAGTCGGAAGACGTCTGGATAAAGTGCGTGGGCGGCCGGGGCGCGGAGCCCTCGTGCTGAGCCCTCGACCTAGCCGTCCTCCAGTCGGACGTCGCTGAAACTGTTCCTGGCCCGCGGCGCCCCCAGCTCTTCGCTCCATTTCGGAGCCCAGGGGGCCCCGCGGCCTCGTGCAGATTGCTCTGGGGGCCGCGGGTGTCTCCCTGGAAGTCCTGGTGGCATCTAGGGTTTAGAGACGTATCTGGCAACGCCGATCCAGTCGCTGCCCTTTCAAACCCTCCGAGGCTTCGCGGCCGCGGCGGCCGTGGCAAGACCGCCCCGCGCCCTTGGAGGCCGCTCGGGCCCCGAAACCCATGGCGGGCAGGTGCGCGCGCCAGGGTCGCAGCCGATTTGCGCCGGGGTCGCGCTGGAAACGCGCTGGTCCACCAGGGCCCCTCCGCCGCGCAAGACCCGAGAAGCAGGGCCAGGTCGGGGAGTCTCTAGGCCGAGAGGGGCCCCCTCATGGACAGGGGGGAGCGGGGTGCTCCATGGCGCCAGGGATGCCGAGGAGAAGAGCCCCCTTTAATTTAAGAAGCGGGAGAGGGCACCACCTGCTCCATGCCCCATGCTTGTCAAGAACGCCCAGCCCCAGGGCGGAGCGCGGCATGTTCACATCTCGCCCGGGGCCAGGCCCCGCGCAAGGAGGCCCGGCCCAGAAGGCCGCGAACGGTCTTCCCGCACCGCGCTCATTGTCGACGCTAGAAGCCTCATCGGCCGCACCGCCATTTCCCAGCCTCCCCGCTCCAGCTCAGCCCAGTCCTCCGCCCTTCCTCGCAACCTGCAGGCGCAACAAGTATCACATGGCGCGGAGGCTCGGGCCAGAGGGGGCCCCTGGACGTGGCTCGACAGGGCGCCGCGGGCGCTCTCGACGAGCGGAGAGGGTTCCCTGCGCTCCTTGCGAGGCGCTGTTTCCTTGCGTGGGGAGCCGATTCTTCGGGGACCTCGGCAGGCGGTGGATATGGGTATGTTCGGGCTCCGCGGGGGACGGGCCAAATATGCCGCACCCACCGCCTGCGGAGGTACCCGAGGGTCGATCCCCCCGGGCGGTGGGAGTGGGGGAGTCCCCGCCTCGCACCCCTGTCAGGCGGGGCAGCCCGGGCACTCTGCAGGGGCAGCTTTCCCGCGAGATGCTCGGGGCTTCCAGCCTTCCTTGTCAATTTTTCTGGCGGCGCCGATCGCCATGCTACTCTGGATCTGCCCTGGGGGCTGAACCGCGCGACAACGAGCTAGTCCTATTATGCGTTTGGTGAGACGAGTGCTCGAGTGGTGAGCCCTCCGACAGCTGGCGCACATGGAGCCGTGCATCAAACCAGCGGGGGTAGCATGGACCGGGCGGTCTTTAGGGCACGACGCTTCGAATCCTCACTCACAGCAGTCATACGTGGTATCAGATTTGGGCAGCTTCCGTACCAACACATCTCATGGAGCTTTCTTGACCGTGTGACATTGAACCTGTCTCTGCCCTGCCTTGTCAGCGTGGCTTATGCATCTTCTAGGGCATGAGCGAACACAGCCACATCTCGCCATGGGGAACACTGTGTGAGGCGAGGATTTATCCATCACCACCGGTTGGGGGGGCCATCTTCGGGGACCTCGGCGGGAGGTAGGCATGGATACATATTTTGTTTATACAGGCAAATCGAGCAAACCTCTGATACTGGCCATGGGGTTTGCTTCTCCTCATCATATATCCTCCTTCTCCCTCGACGTTTTTTTTATATGTGTTTTGGTCTTGTGCCAGTGGGGGAACCTCAGGGACACGCCTCGTCAGCCCCAGGCGGGGGATTTTGCGGATTGTGGATAGCACTGGTGACGCTGACGAAGAGGATGACGACGAGGAGGAGGACGTCATTCCTGACGACTTGGCTGGATTGTCGCCCGAGCAGCAGCAGACGCGCATCAAGCTGCGATCGTTATACCAGATGGGCCTCGGCACTCTTATTGTCCTCGTGTTCTCGGACCCGATGGTGGCCACTGCAAAACGAATTGACCCTTCTTCTCCCTTGCGCTGGCCCTACGGTGGCATCGTGATGTCCCAAAAGGCCTCCCCGTTGGCCCGAGAGATGTTGAATCCCCCCGGGATGTCCCGAGAGGTCTCGAGAGGTCCCGAAGGGTATGGAGTTGTCCCGAGGCCCACGGAAGTCAAAACAAGGTCAGAACATGTCGGGCGTCAATGTGTAAAGGAGGAGGAGGAGGAGATGGGTGGATGAAGGATGTGAGTGGTGTTCGGTGCGCCGCTTCTGGGATGTGTTGGTGGCTTCTCATAGCCTCCATCACAGGCTCATCAGTTCGAGCAGGGGCGAGTTCGTGCAGAATTGATTGCCAGCGTGGACTCTTGCACTCTCGATGTGCACTGTATGTGTTGTGTCGGCGTTCGCAGCTTTTCGGACGATCCCAGACCTCCAACATTCATGATATGACAGGGCAAAGGGTTCTGGGACCGCCAAGCGCTATATGGGGTGAAACACTTCTCTCCTGGTGGGGGTCCAAAGGTCCGAGGTACGTTCGTTGTTTGAGACAATGTTGGCCCCGTGGGCAGACAGTGGTCCTGCAAGCACTGTGGACAGTTATATTTCATGTGCCGTTCATGTTTGTGCAGTCAACCATGATCGCAAGGATGGGGCAACTTTCCAAGGCTACCCTTGCATCCCTGCCCCTTCGGTATTCGGCATCCTTCGGCATTCGGCTGCGCTCCGCACGGAAAACGTCAACATGGCGTTTCAAGGCCCTTGCATCCTTACCGATCATCCTTACTATCCTGGTCGATGGTATGTTGACCTTCCCAACCGTTGAGTGAACCACGATTGTCCGCTCGTGCTACTTGGGTCGGCGCAAAGGCCCCCTGGCGGCGTCTGCGGTGCCGCCCCTGGTGCGGTCTGCGCGCCAGGGGAGTGCCCACGCATGATTGGCCTGTTTTCCACCATCACCATAAGTAGGAGGGAGAGGGGGTCCTCCTCCTCCTCATCCTCATCTTCATCCTCATTCTCATCCTCCACCTCCTTCCCCCTCCAACTCATGGTGGTGGTGGTGGTGGAAAACAGGCCCGTCAGACGCAAGAGACCTTGCAGACCTCCGAGCGATCATGCTTACGTAGTTGGTTTCGGTTTGTTTGCGTTTGTGTCGTCTCTCCTCTTCTGACCAGGTAGATCTGCTCGGGGAGATCGGCAAGCAGGTCGGCGTACCCGCGTTCTACGTGTCCTTCGTGCTGGTGCCCCTGGCCTCGAATGTCCTCCCCGAGGAGGGAGGAGACGGAGGAGGAGGAGCAGGAGGAGGAGGACGGAGCGATGCTGTGGAGGTGGCGGAGGGCGCGGGAGCCCCGACCGCCTCGCCATCCCCCCCAGAACCTTGACAGGACCCAACTGGTCCCTCCCCATCCCTCCCTCTTTGCGTCCATCGCGTTCCCCCCCCCCCCTCCCCCCGCATCAGTTGTTCTTGTGTCCCACGGTGTGTGTGTGTGCGTGTGTTTCTGGAGGACCCAGATTTGCGGACCTGCACCTTCACATGCTCGACGCTTCCTGACTCAATCTCCCCAAGACCCTTTCCCCCCCTCCTTCAGCCCTCCTCCCTCTGCCTCCTCCGCTTCCCTCCTTCATCATCACTCCTCCTCCTCTTCCCGATTCCTCATCCCTCATCCCGCCATGTCTTTCCTCATCATGCTTACTCCCTTTTCCCCCTTGTTGGCTCAAGCTCCCGAGGTAGGCGCCGACAAGTGCGCTTTACACCTGCCGTTCGTTGCCTTCTTGGCTCCGAAAAGTGCACTTGACACCTATCGTTCGTTGCTTTCCCTGCCCATCTACATTACTCATGATGCCCCAGCCTGGGTTTGATGGCACCCGTCAGCGCGAGCCATGTGTCCGCTTCGCTGGGATGGCCGATGATGAGGCGCCCTGTCAGCGAGTGGACGGGCATAATGCTCGTGCTGGCCATGGTCGCCGCAGGAAGCAGTGTCCTTGGAGCTGGAGTGCATTGTGTACGGGATGGACGTTGGACCACATCCTGCGCAAGACACCCGAGTGCATGCACTGTCATGCTGCTTGTGCTCCCGGGACGCGGCTCGGAGAAGCTGAGACTGAGGAGCTTGCAGCCATTGTGGTGAGCTCCAAGACTTCTGGCCCTTTCCCGCCTGGGGCCTCGGCCAACATGTGGGAGGTGGCTGCCATGCTGCCTGCGTCCCTGGCGAAGGCCCCCCTTGCCCCGCACGAGCAGCCCGTCGTAGCCGAACGGGCCACCTTTCCTGCCTGAGGCCGAGTACCCAGCTGTGGAGGTGGCTGAGCGCCAGGCCAGCGGTACTCCTCCAGGCTGCGGTCGATGCTCGGCTCCGTGTGGAAAAGCAGGTGGGTGTAGACGGCAGATCGCCGCGTCGAGGGGCGCCTCCTGGCAGCGCAACAGGCGGAGACCAAGGCGGCGGAGGCAGCCGAGCGCGTCGTTGCCAGGGCGCTGCCGCCCGCCAGGCAGGAGAGCGTCATTCACCTGGACAAGTTGCAGTCTGAGGATGGCGACGAGCCAGGTTTGAAGATTGAGCTCGGCGTGGTTCTCGATCTGGACCGGCCCCAGTTTTCCGAGGGAGATTGTACCAGTTCCCATGCATTTGAGAAGCAGCAGGTGGGCAATGTCAAGGAGTAGTTCAGGGTCTGCGTTCACCGCCGCCGCCGCGAAGGCCGAGCAACATGAGCAGCATTATGCGGAGCGGGTCAAGGCGCTTAGTATGAAGAAGCAGTAGGGTGGTTGGTGTCACCGGGGAGGCTGAGGGAAGGCAGGCAGCGAGTGGAGGCTCACAGGCATCCAGCGCGTCCGTTCCAGGATGTGCCAGCACGGGCGAGCCGCATCCGGAGCGCCCGCCCGGCCTGGCGCCGTCAATGGACGAGGCGGCCAACGAACGCTTCCGCCAGTCTCCCCTCCAGCCCTTGCAGCACCGGCCGTCGTCCTAGCCAGGGCGAGATGCTCGCGGTGTCGAGGGCGGATCGCCGCTTGCCGTGCGTTGCTGGGTTCAGTGAGCCTGTCAGTTTTGCTTTTGTCGGGGGAACGCAAGACCCGAGTAAGCCGGAACTCAGGTTTGCCGACGTTTTTTTGACGAGCGCGTCCTGGATTTTGACGGTCCAGTTTTCGTGGGATGTCTGCAGCGGGAGCTCGCGTCAAATTTCAGATTGGGCCTCGTCATTTTTATGATGGCCCCGTCGTGCCAACCCGAGTTACCCGTGCCCGAGTCTTACGTCTCCCCGATTTTGATGCTCCCGCATTGTTGCCGCTTCTTAGAGCGGTTGTTTCAGACATCCATTTGTGGGGCCTTCAGGCCGCCAGATGGTTTCTCCAGACCCGTGCACATGTAGTCTCGTTGGCTCAGCATCGCATGAGGGGCGCAGGTCTTCAGTCCGTGATCAAGGAGCGGCATTTTGCAGGCTGGACGGTAATAGCCCAAGAAGATCACATCTTGCAGGCAGGGGGCGCCAGTGCGGGAGTGATGGTCGTCGCGCGTTCCCATCTCCTCCTCTCTGACCTCGCCCACCTCTCCTCCACCTGGAAGGTTCCTGAGCCCGCGAGTCGCTGGCTTCTTTGCGCGCTCCGTTTGAGAGGGATCAATCTCACTTCTAGTTCCAGTCTGCCTGCGCGCGCCCGTTGATCCTTGGCTATCTGACCAGACGGTTTTGAATGACCTCGGTGCGGCTCCCCCTGTCGTTGAGGGCTCAATCGTGGTTTGCGCGGACTGATGAAGATCGCGATCCGGTTTGAGCTGCCTCGAGCTAGGGCTGGTGGACATGCCCGTTATGTCCTATAGTTGCGAGGGTGCTATTGGACTGGCCTCATTGATTATATTGGTGAATGACCATCTTCTATCGGCAGTGCTCTACCATGGTCTGGATGATTCGGCCCCCTGGGGCAGCCATGTTGGTCTCGCCTTTCGATTCTGGGCTGCGCCCAGGCCCCCCTTATTTGCGCGTTCAGTCCTGCCGCCCAGGCTCGGTCTCATTTCCCGAAGCGTGTCAAGCCGCGGCGTTTCCACGACAATCTCAGCGCGCCCACCCTGCGCGCTCTTGGGCGCGATCGCGCTTCATTGGCGCAGGCGTTGCGAGAGCGTCGTTGCACTCGGGTTCCGGCGGTGGAGCTCGAAGCTTGCCGCTGGCAGGGGGTGCGTGCTAGGGCGACTTGGCGGCTTTCAAGTAAAAAACAACCAGCACTCGCATTTCAAGGGGCGCCGGATAGTTCCTGGGGAGATTGAAGCACCCAGCGCAGTGAATCGCTTGGCTAAAAGTGGACACCTCGGGTCGAGGAAGACGCGGTCGGTCTCCCGTTAGGCCACTGGCCCCGGGGAATTTCTGGCGCATCTCTCACCCTGTGTAATATTGTAACGGCCAAGGGGGGTCAGCGTCTGAAAATGTGATTCCGCCTGCGATTTCCGCAACAAATAATCAGATCGCCTTCCAGGGCGACCTGACAATTTGCCGCGGCATCTGAAAGTGGCGATTTTGCGTGGGGGACTTCCGCCGGGAAACAATCAGACCCATCTTTGCCGCTTAGAGTGGCGATATCGCCTGAGTATTCCTCGCACGGTATTTTCCGACCGCTTTTCTCGCCGCCAAAGAGTGGCCACTTCGTTTGGGCTGTCCTAAACCGCGCCTCTCGTCAACCCCTGCGTCGCCGTTCCTCCGTTCGGGTCGCGACTCGGTCTGGGAGTTACTTGGGATCGGTCGAAGGTCGAGGCTTTTTTTTGTCCGATTGGCGAGGACCCAGGGGTTGTTCCGCGCCGTAGTGCTGCTCACCATTTTTTGATCCAGGGGGTGGCCCCCAAAACGCTCGGCGCGGGCAGTCTCCAGCGCCTCGGTCCCGACGCGTGCGCTAGTCTGGAGCGTGGGCAAAACATGTATAGGAGACATTACTCAGCGCGTTGGCGGCGGTCAACCCGCTGGATTAAAAAGTGGAGACCGCGGGGTTCGAGAGACACGGTTGGCCTCCCGTTGGGCCACTGGGGCCCGGGGCAATGTTGGAGCCGGGGCCGAGTCGGGAATTTCTGGTGCATCTCTCACCTTGTTTCATACTGTAACGGCCAAGTGGGGTCAGCGTCTGAAAATGTGATTCCGCCTGCAACTTCCGCAACCAATAATCAGATCGCCTTCCAGGGCGACCTGACAATTTGCCGCGGCATCTGGAAATGGCGATTGTGCGTGGGGGAGCTCCGCAGGGGAAAAAATCAGACCCATCTTTGCCGCTTGAGAGCGGCGATATCGCCTGAGCATCCCTCGCAGCGAGCCCTCGCAGGGTATTTTCCGACCGCTCTCGCGCTGCCAAAGAGTGGCATTTTCGTTTGGGCTGTCCTAAACCGCGCGTCTCGTCCACCCCTGCGTCGCCGTTATTCTGTTCGGGTCACCACTCTGTCTGGGAGTTCCTTGGTTTCGATCGAAGGTCGATTCGTGGGCTTTTTTTTTTTCCGGTTGGCGAAGACCCAGGGGTGGTTCCGTGCCATCGTGCCGATCGCCATTTTTTTAATCCAGGGGGTGGTAGTTTCTGGCAGGGCCTTGCGGTCCAACTGTCTGCCATTCCGAAGGTTTGCGATTTTCGGTGGTGGTGGTGGGGGGGGGGCAGCCCCCCAGCTTCTCGGCCCTGATCAGGTCGGCATTTCCATGGACTGGCGCGAAAGATTGCCGCGCGTCGCCCCCCCACCCCCTTGGGCGAAGATGGCAAGGGGGGGCGCGATTAGCTTGGCGCGTGGCCGGGCCGTCTTTCCTGGCACCCCCGCCCCCCATTGGGCGGCTGGTAAGGCATGCTCGAGCTAGCTGATAATCTCGGCGCCAAGTCTGCTAGTCGATCAGCAGCTGCGTCCAAGGTGTAGAGGGGAAGTGGCAGGTAACGGCCCGGCGGGCTCTGCGCGCGCCGCTCGCGAATCCCCCCCGCCAGGAATTTGCTTCGCTGTCCAAGGTTCGGCTCGCGAAGGGGATGTTGCTGGAAACGTGTCTGAGCGCGTCGGGGCCATCTTGCAAATGGCAGCAGAGCCGCCGTGATTTAGCTCGGCAGCGCTCGTCGCAGCCGCGGTCCGAGGCTTGGGGCAGCCCCCCCCCCTTCCCCTCCTCATTATGTCACAGCCGCCAGGCCGCCCCGTCGAACATCGCCGCCAGGCTGGGCAGGGGCCCCGACGTGACCCTCCTCGCCTCATCGAAGATGTTGTCACGAAGGCCAAAGGAGCCCTCCTGGAGCTTCTCATTGCCATAAAAAATATTCGGCCACCTTGCCATGTGTGCCGGCTGCTTCATAGTTTTGTCCGACGTGCCCGGCGGCGGATTCCGCCGCGTGGCCTGACTGGGCGTCGCGCGCCCTGTCTCGCCGCGATCTAGGCGCCGCGAAGTGTCGGCTGGGCACGGGGCCATCACGGGCGCGTGGGACGAGACTGCGGGCGGGGGCCTGGCGCGGCAGGGTGGGCGGATGGAAGCGACGCGAAAATTGTAGTTCGGAAGGTTTCACGGTCGGAGGTTGCCCAATTGCCCTCGCCGGGTTTCGCTGCCAAGTTTTCGTGCCAGAGCTGGTCTCCCAGGCACGAGTCTTCAATTGGGGTGCTGCCCAGATGCGTTCAGGCTGCGTCTCCGTCGCGCGCGCCGTTGCGAGCCTTCCCGGCCGCCGCGCATGCCGCGCGCGACGCGTCTCGCGCCTGGCAGTGGGTTGACGACGCAGTTGTCCGCATTCCCGGCGCCGAGCCTTTAATTTGCGATGTGTTTCCCCAAGTCGCTTGTTCTTTGGATAGTGGCCTCCTGGGATCGATATGCCAGCTCTCGATTCCGACGTGCGTTTTCATTGCCTCTTCGCCCCCCGCTGCGCGAGCTCCAGCCCGAGCTCGCGGCGGGCGTTATGCTTGAGAGCGCCCAGCCTGCTAGAGACTTTGACCGCGGCGCTAGATTCGGCAGCGGGCGCTCCGCATGGGCGCGCGCGGCCAGGTTTGGCCGCGGTTTGAAGGTTGGAATGCTTCTCTTCGCGATTCCGCATCCAAAGCCCATGCGGGCTGCAGAAGCGCACGGCGTTTGCCCTTCGTCCCTGGGGCGTCTCCGCGGCAGCGCGCATGCCGGCGGCTTGGCCAGTTGCAGAGGCACGCACTGCGCCGCAGCATTCCGCCTGACTTTCTGGGCCAGGCGCGACCCAGTGCGAGTTCACGTCCGTCGCCTCGTTGCCAGTTGGCTGGGCTGGCTCGGGAAGCGCCCGGGGGCTTCTGGAGCGCGTTCAGTCTGCTTGGGGCCGCTGTCTGGATCGCGTCGAGACGGGCTGGGCCCGGGCGCGGAGGCACCTCGGCGCGCTGCAGACCTCGAATCCATCTTGGGCGGCTGGCACCCAGCCCAGCCCACGCACATCGATCAACCCTTCCAGAGAGGAGTGGGCATTCGTCAGTGGTTGCGACAGTCCTACCGCGCAGCTGTAGTAGGATCTAGATGACACCATTGCGTCCGACCCGTGGACAGAGACCTCGAAGTTCTCTATTGGGAAAGCCGCTGAGCGAGGGCTTTCTGGCCGCATGCGCGCGAGACCCCCAGGCGCATAGTCAAAGAGGGTGACGCTGATCAGGCCGCCACGGTGAAAGTTGTGGGTTGCGGCAACAGTTGGCCGGAAGGAGAGAATCACGAGTGCGCTCTCGCTCCTGGTCCCCAGCGCCATCGCTGCATGAGAGATTTCAAAACACCCGAGCACATAATGTGGCAATGCTCCTGCAATGCCGACCGAGATTGTCAGGTCCAGGCCTGTGGACATTTAGGTCATGAAGCTGTCGCCGAATTTGGCGCCTGCCCAATATTCGGGGTATTCGGGCTCATTCCTCTTGTCTGGTTTTCCCTCCCTCCTCCGCTTGAGCAGCGTCTCCACGAGCATCGCGAGTGCGAGCCCTCGGAACTCTTCCCGCGAGGCATTCGCGGGGCCGACAGTGCAGGAGGTGCTTGGTCTAAATGCCACGTGCTGCGCCGAGTGGCCTTTGCTTTCGCTGGGCTGGACGGCTCCGGGGTTGCGTTTTTTTTTTTTTTTTTTTTTTTTTTTTTTTTTTCTGGGGCCGCGGGGTCGCGGGTCTGGCCGGGGGCAAACGCAGACGGTCCTGGGCGGTGGTTCTGCAAGCCGATTGTGGCTTTTCGCCATGTTGCCAAGAATGAAGGCCTGACCCTTGTATATGATCATGCGAACCGTGGGAAATACGAATCACTTTGCCCAGCACGTATGTGTATATATAGGTATATATATATACATATATATATGTATGTATATATATATATATATGTAAATATATACACATATATACATATATGCGAATAAAAGGCACCATACGCACTGCCTTGCCAAGAAAATATATGCGGTGGCAGTGCTGACGCCTTGTTGTTTTGCGCCCTGCTACAACTCATATTGTGCTTTGCCCCTCCCGCCTTAATCGTGGCGACAAACTTCGCAGGTTCATGTTCATTGTGCCGCGGACGCTTTTGCTGACCAGCGCGCTAGGTGTGCTCAGATCCAGTCGCATATCATCCGAGAGGTGCGAGTTGTTGACGAATTTGGAGTATATCCTTCTGCGTATCCTCCCTCACGGTTGCTATCGCTTCTCGTTGGAAGGGTCGCTGGCTCGTTGTCACTGAGAGCCCTGTGAAGCGCACAGAGGAAGCTAAGCAGCGCAAGCATGAATTCATCGAGGGTCCGTCGCACCACTGTTTGTCTTAAGATGCTGGTGCCTCTTGGAGGTGCTCCGGGTGCGGCTTCCATGCCCACGAGAGATCGAGAGGTTTCTGGGGTTCCATTTTGTCGGCCTGCCTCTCCCCGGCCCCTGGGCCTCCCGCCCCGCTCCTCACGGTTTTGGCGTCACTGGGAGCTCGAGGCCCACGTGGACGAGTGGTTTTGGCACCGTTTGGGTTTGGAGGATCCGCCCCGGACGGTGGCCCACCCTGCCATCTGCAGCGGGCCAGCAGTTGACTTCAAGCCACGAGCTCCGGTTTAAGGGGCGTCTTGCTTTTCGTGAGCTGTGCGGGTCGTGGGCCACTCGGCGGCCAGTCAACCTCTTGAGTGGCCGCATTGTGGTCGTCCAGGGCCCGCGCACAATCTGCCTGAAGCCGTTGCAGGCGCTCCAGCGGGTGCGCGAGGGTAAGCCACTCCAGCGAATTGCCTTCTACCGGGGCGAAGCTTACGCCCTGGAGTTCTGATGTGTTTCGCCGTCGAGCTCTCCCCTGTTGGCAGCGTTTGGCTCGATGTTGCGCACAGGAAGAACCCTTTCCTCCTCTTTTTCGCTTTCTTATCTTACCTGGTTTCTTCTGCCCCGACCTATTTCCTTTTCTCTCCGTTCCATTCCTGCCTCATCTGGCCTGCATTCCCCTACCTCCTCGTTCTTCGGGCTCCGTGTCTCCAGGTATGTCCAACGGCGAACACGCGCAACAACTTCGCCCATCCTTCCATCTTTGCATCCCCGGTTGTCTGATAGTTTGATGTGTTCCCTTCCGGGCCCCCTAGAAGGCCCCATCATTTCCCCGAAACCAGCCTTCCATCCTGACGAGTTGTTGTTGACCGTCTCTGAGCCCGATACAGGCTTCAGATGGAGAGCGTCTAGCAAATAGTTCGAGTTTTTTTTTCCTCTGACGTTGGATGTCCGGGTCTCTCAAGGCGCCCCTCGCCTCGAACTCCGCCGAGCTGCTGGCGGCGTACAACTACGCGCAGAAACGGAGCGCCCCCCGGCGCCCTCCAGGGCGACGTCGGCAGCGAGGGTGTCCCCCCTCGCCCATGGGGGGTGGGTGGCGTCAACTGAGGACAAAAGCAGCGGGGAGAGTGAGAAGAGAAGGTGGGTGAGGAGGAGAGAGAGAGGAGCAGAGAGGGGGAGCGAGGCGCGAGCAGGAGTCAGGAGGAGCGAGGAGGAAGAGAGATACTGCGGGAGACTCTGGAAGATGTGGGGACAGGTGGTTGAGGAGGAGGAGGCGAAGTCGGAGGAGTCAGGAGGTGGAGTAAGGACGAGGAGTGTGTAGGATGGGGGGATGAGGAGGAGAGAGCAGGGAGGATGATTTGGACGTGGGCGAACGTCTAGCTGCGATTCCATTAAACAATCGGGACAGATCGAGGGCCAGACCGCAAGGTCACGCAAAGCAACGAGCGAGTTCTTGAAAACCCCACTCGGGACTGACCGAAACGCTAAACAGGACCATGGAACCTCGCACACCTTCAGCAGCCTGCGAAAGTGCAACCATTACGTAAGTTAGGCATTCACAGTTGCGACGCATCTTCGTCATCTCTTTCTTCCCCACCTTCGCCCAGCAATCACGGCTGCATACAAACGCGGTACAGCGCGCATCGAGCGACACCTCCGATGCCGGTGAAGCGGCGCACGCGCGCACGGGCGGAACACCCTGGAGGCGGAACACCCTGGAGGCGCGCGCACGGGCGCTCACTCCTCGGCGGTGCCAAAAGGGAGAGTCGGGCCGGACGAAAGAGGCGGATTGGGAAAGGGGGGGTTACAAAATTTGCGACATGCAGCTGGTTTCGGCCCCACTGAGGGACCCATTCCTCGATACATAGTCGCCTCCGGGGCCGGGAGGCGCCGGGAAAATCAGCTCCGTACGAGCTGATTCTCAAACCCACCCTCTGCTGTCTCCCCCTTTCGCCCGACCGGACAAAAGGGAGAGGCGACTGGGGAGGCGGGGGGATCTTACAGTCGGGTTCCATTAGTAGGTCGGCCCTGCGAAATCAAGGGTGCTCTTGTGTCCTGTGCATCGCGCGTCGTGTCCTCTGCGGCCGAAGGGCAGGGTACCCTTGCGTCCTGTGGGTGTTGGAGGCCATGTTGCCGTCGGAAGAGTCTTGTGTCCTGTCGCGCGTCCTGTGCGCAAGAACCCGCCTGTATCTCCGGGGATCTCATGGCACCCTCCCGCTTTTTTTTTGCCGGCGACCCCCCGGCGCCCCCTCCCGTCTGGGCGCCTGCCTCGGGCGCGCCCCACCGGCGGCGCGCCCGGCGCGCCGCCCCTCGGGCGGCCTCCGCGCTGCCAGGGGGAGGGGGGCCCCGGCGCCGAGCCAAGAGGAGCCCGCGGCTCTCTGCGAAATCGTGGTCGTGCCGTGTTCTCTCGAGAGCGTCGCCACGAGGAGGAGCAGGGGGAGGTCCCCGAGGGACTCCAGGGCTTACAGCCATCGCGTAGCGATGGCCGCCCCCTGCCCCCCTCCGCGTGCCAGGGAGAGGGGGGCCCCGGCGCCGATCCAAGGAGCCTGCGGATCTCTGCGAATTGTGGTCGTGTCGTTTTCTCCTGTCGGGCGAAAGGGGGGGATTGGGAAAGGGGGGGCTACGACATCTGCTGCATGCAGCTGGTTTCGGCCCCGCCGCCGGGCCCATTCCTCGATACACAGCCGCCTCCGGCGCCGGGAGGCGCCGGGAAAATCAGCTCCGTGAGCTGATTCTCAACCCCCACCTTTGCTATACCCTCCTTTCGCCCGACCCGATTTTCTCTCGAGAACGTCGCCACGAGGAGGAGCAGGAGGAGGTCCCCGAGGGACTCCAGGGATTGCAGCCATCGCGTAGCGATCAGCGGCCCCCTGAACTTGACCACCAGCGGGAGGACAGGGAACACGGAGCGCCCGAATCGGCGGAACATGTTCACCAAGATTGCTTGCCACCATTGTGGAAGCCGTAGCGCCCCCACTTGACTGCAGTACGCACCAACCCACCGGCGAAACGTGACATGTCATTGTACCGCCAATTGGATATGATAATTTGGGAAAGGCCTCCTCCTTAGTGATTAAGTGAATAATCGAATTTCCCTCGGACATCTTCCGCACGGGAAGATGACCACCAGAACGTAGAATGAATTATGGGAACCATGCGCTATTGGCAGGATGAATTATGAAGCCCACGCAGACAGCCCAGGCATGTTCCACACCGCGGCACCCCCTCCACATCGCGAAACAACACATCCCAAACCGCCAGCGAACGCAGATCCCACCAAACTTAGTAGTACGACGTGGCACTGTGCCCAGTACAGAGACATCGTTACAGACCAGTTGACCAAGCACCAGGCACATTGAGAAACATTGCCAGCCTCCTTGCACGCCCATTGCTACCAGAGATAAAATGCACCACGCCACCAGAACACCGACTATAATATCGTCCCCTGGCGGAAATGGCAGATGCCTGCACTGAAACGGATGATGCATGTCGCCAAGGTGACGCCCAACACGAGCACAACAAGTATATCCCCATGCAGTTGTGGCAGAATGCCAAACATAAGCATCCAGGACAACTCCGCAGCACTGCATACGCGGAAGTGCACTACACTACCATCAGCGGCCTCCTGCAGGTGCGAATTCGCAAAGGAAGGACATGGCGACAAGCAAATACCAGACCAGCCCAAGTCGAATGAAGCACAAAGAACAACATGTGCAAAGTGCCAAGCTGCAAAAGCCGTGGGCCACGCTCCAAAAGTGAGCGTACTAACAGCCCTGCTTGCCATGAGACTTTGAACAATATGTTCGGGAGAAGCACACTCAAGAACCACTAGAGAACCCACAGGCTCAAATAGTGACCCTCCTGCCACTGCATACTTTGTTAAACAAGCAATACCCGCCAATTGTGTAGATGCGGCTGGCCACTGCCCTGCGCTCGCAATACACAATACACCTGCTGAACATTTTGCTTGAGTTCGCCCATTCTAGACATCCCACGCCAATAGCCACCAAGACATGCAACGAGTATGACAGTTGATTTTTTCCCCACATGCTTCGTGGGGTTCTGGTTTTCTTCCCACCCGCGCCGCACCCGCGTCTCACCCACACCCGCCCTCCTCCCCTCCTCCTCCTCATCCCCCTCCTCCTCACGCACACAGCTCAGCGCAGTGCAGCGCAGCACAGCACAGCACAGCACAGCACATCACAGCGCAGCGCACACAGCACAGCACAGCACAGCACAGCACAGCACAGCACAGCACAGCACAGCACACACACACGGCTTGGCACGTGCGGCACATTCTCGACGCCATAGGGGTCGTCCACGGCACAGCAGGCGTGGCAGTTTTGCACAGCACACCTGCACAGCACAGCATAGCACAGTACAGCACACCGCAGCACTGCACGGCACGGCACAGCACAGCACATCGCAGCACAGCTCAGCACAGCATAGCACACAGGGCAGGCGCGCAGGGCACGGCACGGCAGAGCGTGCCAGGGGTGGCATTTTCTCGACACCACAGGGGGTGCGCAGGGGGTGGTCCCTGAGCTCGGCCGCTATGCACGACGGTTGTCCAGGCACAGCAGGCGTGGCACTTTCTCGACACCACAGGGGGTGCGCAGGGAGTGGTCCCTGAGCTCGGCCGCTATGCACGACGGTTGTCCAGGCACAGCAGGCGTGGCACTTTCTCGATACCACAGGGGGTGCGCAGGGGGTGGTCCCTGAGCTCGGCCGCTATGCACGACGGTCGTCCAGGCACAGCAGGCGTGGCACTTTCTCGACACCATGGGGGTGCGCAGGGGGTGGTCCCTGAGCGCGGCCGCTATGCACGACGGTCGTCCAGGCACAGCAGGCGTGGAACTTTCTCGACACCAGAGGGGGTGCGCAGGGGGTGGAGCTCGACCTGGCGGTCGCTACACCATAGGGGGTGCAGGGGGTGGTCCCTGAGCTCGGCCGCTATGCACGACGGTCGTCCAGGCACAGCAGGCGTGGCAACTTTCTCGACACCATAAGGGGGTGCGCAGGGGGTGGTCCCTGAGCTCGCCGCTATGCACGACGGTCGTCCAGGCATAGCAGGCGTGGCACTTTCTCGACACCATAGGGGGTGCGCAGGGGGTGGTCCCTGAGCTCGCCGCTATGGAAGACGGTCGTCCAAGCACAGCAGGCGTGGCACTTTCTCGACACCACAGGGGGTGCGCAGGGGGTGGTCCCTGAGCTCGGTCGATATGCACGACGGTCGTCCAGGCACAGCAGGCGTGGCACTTTCCCGACACCATAGGGGGTGCGCAGGGGGTGGTCCCTGAGCTCGGCCGCTATGCACGACGGTCGTCCAGGCACAGCAGGCGTGGCACTTTCTCGACACCACAGGGGGTGCGCAGGGGGTGGTCCCTGAGCTCGGCCGCTATGCACGACGGTCGTCCAGGCACAGCAGGCGTGGCACTTTCTCGACACCACAGGGGGTGCGCAGGGGGTGGTCCCTGAGCTCGGCCGCTACGCACGACGGTCGTCCAGGCACAGCAGGGCGTGGCACTTTCTCGACACCATAGGGGGTGTGCAGGCGGTGGTCCCTGAGCTCGGCCGCTATGCACGACGGTCGTCCAGGCACAGCAGGCGTGGCACTTTCTCGACACCATAGGGGGTGCGCAGGGGATGGTCCCTGAGCTCGCCGCTATGGACGACGGTCGTCCAAGCACAGCAGGCGTGGCACTTTCTCGACACCACAGGGGGTGCGCAGGGGGTGGTCCCTGAGCTCAGTCGATATGCACGACGGTCGTCCAGGCACAGCAGGCGTGGCACTTTCCCGACACCAGAGGGGGTGCGCAGGGGGGGGTCCCTGAGCTCGGCCGCTATGCACGACGGTCGTCCAGGCATAGCAGTCGTGGCACTTTCTCGACACCACAAGGGGGTGCGCAGGGGGTGGTCTCTCACCGCGGCCGCTATGCACGACGGTCGCCCAGGCACAGCAGGCGTGGCTGGCTGGTCTGATTACTTTGGCTGGTTATGGCTGGAACGACTGATCCGACTGGTCT